CACACACACACACACACTCTCACACACACACACACTCTCACACACACACACACTCTCACACACACACTCACACACACACACACTCTCTCAAAGACACACACAAACACACACACACACTCTCTCACACACACACACACACTCTCACACACACACTCACACACACACACACACTCTCTCACAGACACACACACACACACACACACTCTCTCACAGACACACACAAACACACACAAACACACACTCACACACACACACACACACACACTCTCTCACAGACACTCACACTCTCACACACACACACACACACTCTCACACACACACACACTCTCACAGACACACACAAGCACACACAAACACACACACACACACACACAAACACACACACACTCACTCACACACACTCACACTCTCACACACACACACACACACTCTCACACACACACACACTCACTCACACACACACACTCTCTCACAGACACACACACACACAAACACACACAAACACACACACTCTCTCACAGGCGCACTCACACACGCGCGCGCACACACTAAACAACTAACGGTGGACCTGCGACTAATGATCCCATCACTGGTGTGCAGGGTGCAGTTTAACGTAGCCATGGAGACGGGTGTAGCTCAACCATAGAAACAGGTGTGGTGTAACCATGGAAAAAGGTGTAGTCGAAAATAAAAAAGGGATGTAACGTAACCATGGAAACAGATGTGATGCAACCGTAGAAACCGTGTAGTGTAACTGTAGAAATGAGTGTGGCCTGACCTGAGGAACAGGTACAGTGTAATATGGAAATGAGTGTAAAGTAACCATGGAAACGGATGTAGCATAAAGTGGGAAAACCAGTATAGGCTAACCATGGAAACGGGTGTAACCATGGAAACAGGTGTAGGGTAACATTTGAAAAGTGTGGTGTAAACACGTGAAAAGATATAGCTAAAAATGAAAAAAGGATGTAACGTAACCATGGAAACAGATGTGATGCAACTGTAGAAACAGTGTAGCGTAACTGTAGAAATGAGTGTGGCCTGACCAGAGGAACAGGTACAGTGTAATATGGGAATGAGTGTAGAGTAACCATGGAAATGGATGTTGCATAACTATGGGAGCAGGTGTAGAGTAACCTTGGGAGCGGTTGTAGGGTAACCATGGGAGCGGGTGTATGGTAACCATGGGAGCGGGTGTATGGTAACCATGGGAGCGGGTGTAGGGTAACCTTGGGAGCAGTTGTAGGGTAACCATGGGAGCAGGTGTATGGTAACCATGGGAGCGGGTGTATGGTAACCATGGGAGCAGGTGTATGGTAACCATGGGAGCGGGTGTATGGTAACCATGGGAGCGGGTGTAGGGTAACCATGGGAGCGGGTGTAGGGTAACCATGGGAGCGGGTGTAGGGTAACCATGGGAGCAGTTGTAGGGTAACCATGGGAGCGGGTGTAGAGTAACCTTGGGAGCGGTTGTAGGGTAACCATGGGAGCAGGTGTATGGTAACCATGGGAGCGGGTGTATGGTAACCATGGGAGCGGGTGTAGGGTAACCTTGGGAGCAGTTGTAGGGTAACCATGGGAGCGGGTGTAGGGTAACCTTGGGAGCAGTTGTAGGGTAACCATGGGAGCGGGTGTAGAGTAACCTTGGGAGCGGTTGTAGGGTAACCATGGGAGCAGGTGTATGGTAACCATGGGAGCGGGTGTATGGTAACCATGGGAGCGGGTGTAGGGTAACCTTGGGAGCAGTTGTAGGGTAACCATGGGAGCGGGTGTAGGGTAACCATGGGAGCGGGTGTAGCCCCATTGTCAGTGTATCAGTGGTGTAGTTAGTATCAGTCGGTCTCCAGTTCAGTTTAGGGGATTAAATCTGTGGGTTTTGAAGCTCCTCAGTGCAGGTTGGAGCATTCGGGCTCCTCATCCTCATCATATCAGGTTCAGAAAGAGAAAACAACTGAACGGCGACCCGCAGAGATCTCAGCGTGGCTCTCCTTCCTTCCTGTTTCGTGTTTCGCTTCTTCGTGGTGGTGTGTTTGGGTTTGGAGTGAAGCGGTGATGAAACCACAGCCGTGAGATTTACACTCAGCTGTGTTTATTATACAGTTATAAACGAGCGAAACCTGGTGCTGCGTTATTCTCACGTTTTCATTATTCAGGATTTATTCTTCTTTTTATCGGTTGGTTTGGATGTTAACTCCAGCTTTCTACTTTAAAGTGATACAGAAAGACAGTCTCTCTCTCTCTCTCTCTCTCTCTCTCTCTCTCTCTCTCTCTCTCTCTCTCACTCACTCACTCACTCACTCACTCACTCTCTCTCTCTCTCTCTCTCTCTCTCTCTCTCTCTCTCTCTCTCTCTCTCACTCACTCACTCACTCACTCACTCACTCACTCACTCTTTCTTTCTTTCTCTCTTTCTTTCTCTCTTTCTCTCTCACTCACTCACTCACTCACTCACTCACTCACTCTCTTTCTTTCTTTCTCACTCACTCACTCACTCACTCACTCACTCACTCTCTTTCTTTCTTTCTTTCTTTCTTTCTCTCTCTCTCTCTCTCTCTCTCTCTCTCTCTCTCTCTCCCTCTCTCTCTCTCTCTCGCTGAGTCATCATGTATCATGTAGGTCAGATTTCTTTGTTTTGCCGATTCAGGGTTCTTTGGTTCCTCACAGCACTCTGTATCTCTGTATTTAAGAGATTAAACCAGGCTAACCTCCGTTCTGCCCGCTGAGTGTCTGCCTGCCTTTTATCCACACTCACAGTTTAAGTAAAGTTTATATATTATAACGTATATTAAACCATTATTCTTTATATAACGTAATTAGGTCTGTTCTGTTACCGCAGTCCTTAATATCACTGAAACCCATTTTACAATAAAAATAGGATTTAATGTTTGTTTAATTGTAGCTACTCTGAAACTGCTGGGTAAGCTCTGTACTAATGCCAGCTTAAAGGCGTGCACTCTCCAAAAGATGGTTCTTCAAGGGTTCTTTAGTATTGACAGTGATTCTATTTAGAGCCATAAACACTCAAAGATCTGCATGCTTAAATGGTTCTTCAGATCGATGGAGAGTGTGTTGTATATGGTTCTATACAGCACCAAAAAGGGTTCTTCTATTGTTACAAGCTTGTTATCAAAACAGCAGAACCCTTTAGGGTGTTCAACACGTTCTCCATCAATCTGAAGAACCGTTTCACCACGTAGAGAACCATTTTAAGCATGCATGAGTGTTCATGGCTCTATATAGAACCATTGTCTTTACTGAAGAGCCCTTGAAGAACCATGTTTTTAAGGGTTCCAGTTATTTCAGTGTTCCCACGTTTATATAAGTGCTGTGAATCTCAGTCTGAAGGGTTCATTATAAATGGAAGTTTAGGAGCTTTTTAAAAGCCCCGTATCGTCTCTCAGAGCGGTTCATCAGCAGGACTGATCCTCAGAGCTGTTGAGCGGTCGGCTTGTTAGCTGAGTTAACGGAGGGTCTCTGAATGTGGAGATGGTGGAGGTGATGGAGCCTGAGGAGCCTGCAGATACACCTGTATGTGTCTCAGTAATGACGGGTCAGTTCAGCCTGAGGGGATTTCACTGAGACCCTGTTTACTCTGAGGAAGTGAGGGAGGAAACTGAGGGAGAAGAATGGTGAATAGTGAGTTCACCCCCCACCCCACCCCCTATTATAAGACTGTTAGGTCTCTCTTTATTTGAATGGTCCACTATCGCCCCCTGTAGATTCTCTACAGATGATTCTTCATCATGAACTCCAGATAAGAAAACAGCATCACACAAACATCCTAACTAGACTAAACCTCCTAAATCCTGTCCTAACTTTAGGATGAAGCCCAACAGGGTCCTCACTTCTGTTTGCTGGGGCAGCTACCTAGAACATTAGCGTGTATGCTAGCATGTCCCACTTCCATCCTCCCAAAATGTAAATTAAATTGCCTCCTTTTGGGATTGTATTTGGCTTTAATCGCAAAAGATAAGAGCTTTGCTAAGTAACATCGACTAGATAGGTGTTACTGTCCTGTACACTCTAAGCTCTAACCAGCTACTAATCTCGTCAAACCGGTTTTAAAGGCACACAGACTTTTATTTTGGAAAATAAACTAAGACAAATAGTACAAACTGAGAGAAAAAGATGATAACTAGGCTGTTGTGAGTTGATTTAGTTGAGAATGTTGTTGCTGACACTGCTAGAATGGCTACAGCTGAATAACCGGCTTTATTTATGATTTTGCTATTAAAATTGTTTACTACACTCGTTTACAGCAGATAATGAAAGAAATAAATGAAGGAAGACTCAGTAAACTGGACTGTAAGCGAGTACAGGTGGCATTTTTCCTGAGTATAAAGCCGGGGGGCCGCCAACCTTTCCCGTCAGTGGGCCAACAGTGGCCGTCTGTGCTCTGACCGTCTGTGAAACAGCTGTGAACTTAGAGGTAAAGAGGTAAATGAGTGCTGTTGAGGGTCTGAATGGGAGGATAGAGGAGGCGAGAACGGTGCGGGGGTCTGTTCTTCCCCCTCAGGCACTGGGGTGGGTTTGTTTGTGGTCCTGAATGGGGGGGTCTGTTGGTGTTCTTCAGAGCGTTGAAGTTCTGGTGGGGGTCCTCTGTGTTCTTTTGTCCTGATGGTCACCAAAAACACGGCGTTCCGCTGCTGGACTGTTTACAGTTCCTCCTCAATCACAGCCTGACGGATCTCCTCTTCCTGCTGAAATCGAGCATGACGTCCTCAGTGAAGGAGCTGCAGTCTGATGAAGGAGCGCCGTCGCCTCCGAGACTCGGACTGATTGATCAGACGCACTCTGATGGACTGTGGGGTTCAAATTTAACATTTTTCCTCTTTCTCTCCCCTCAAGGTGTCGATCCCACTGTCCTGCTCCCAAATCCCACCCTGTATAATCTGTCAATGCATGAATTAATCCACCTCTCTCTCTCTCTCTCTCTCTCTCTCTCTCTCTCTCTCTCTCTCTCTCTTCTCTCTTTCTTCCGTCCCCCCCTCTCGCCCCAGTGTGGGGGTATGGTTTCCTGTGCGTAACGGTCATCTCGCTGTGCTCTCTGGTGGGCGCCAGCGTGGTGCCCTTCATGAGGAAAACCTTTTACAAGCGGCTGCTGCTCTACTTCATAGCTCTGGCCATCGGCACGCTCTATTCCAACGCCCTCTTTCAGCTCATCCCCGAGGTAGAGTGACCCACACTGCGGTTCTCCTCTGCTTAGGAACCTTTAACAGCAGCTGTAGAGTGAGAGACGCTCCGTAAGGCTTCAGTGAGAAGCTGAGCGCTTTAAAGGTGTTTATATTGCGGTTATTAGAGGAGAGGAGTCACTGACACGATGGGTAATCAGTTAAACAGACGCGTCCAGTTTCTGAAATCTGAGTAAAAGTGTTGTAGAATTAATAAAATGCATAGATATGATCCATATCATCATTTATCTTTCAGCGATTTTATTCATTTTAACGCAGCTAGCGTTTTCATATGTCAAAAAATTTAACACGGCAAGGTTTTTTGTTCCGACAGCGACGATACGTTAAGTTCCGTAGTTTTCCAGGTTAAAAAGGAAACAGTGGAATAATCTTTAGCCAGTGTGTCGCCATCTGTTCTTATTAGTGCAAACAAAAATCGGTTATCATATCAAATTTGCATTTAGTCATTAATTTCTAAAAGAACATTCTGCGTCGTGTCCAACGCCACTTATCAAAGCTAAAATCACTGTAACTTTAAATTGCTTTACTGCTGTATTTCGGTTCTGTCTTGGCTTCATGCGCCTTTTTTCAAAGCATATTAACGTTTTGAAATATGTACCAATCAAATGTTAGCATGCACATGCTAATAGAAGCATTTTACCTTTTTCCAGATTTTAGAATAAAAGTAAAGACCGAATGTAAACAGCGTTCTCACAGATAAAGTCTTCTGAAGTCTTTAAATTTATCATAAAGAGGTCTAAAAATGCCTCCACAGTACAAAAACTTACAAATACAGTCATAAGCAAAAGTTCTAACATCTGCGGCCAAATTATTATTAAATATAAGTGAAAACGCACCTTACTGAAGTTAAATGGCACTTCTGCTAATTTTAATGCACAATATTTATTAATTTACTGATTTTTATCATTTTCTAAAAAGAGAAAAAGGAGCTGAACATGTAAAATGTGCAATAATTTTGAAAATGCAAATTAGGTATTTAATTCTGTAAATATGCAGTAATTGTGTATTAAAATATGCAGACGTGTGTAGAGGATGTGTAACTTCATATACACTATATAAAAGTAAAATAAAAAAAATAAAATAATAATTACCCATAAACCCATATAACATATACCACTGAAAAATGTAGGACTGTTACGTTGCTTGGCAACCACAGCCTACTAATAAACTACATGGCTTAGCAGAAGAACTGTTTATCGCTATTATTAATAATGATCAATTAAATTTTGGCCCATAAAATCTCTTTTGGCTGTTTTTGAAAGTCTGAACCTCTTTGATCGCTTTTAAATCAATAGTTTGGCCAAAAATAAATAAAAAGAGTTTTTTATATTATTATTTTTTTTAAATAAGATTTTATAAAGCACAATCTGATTGGCTGCATTCAAAGCCAATCACTATACACATATCTGACCACACGCATACACTTACAACAAAAACATCGTCTTTAAAGGAGAATTTTTAACATTCTCTGCATAATTAAGTGGTTAATTGTGAACAGAGTCGTTCAGAGAGTTTTGGTTTCTAGAGAAACTTACAGAGTCAGAACTGTTCACAGTGGTGGTGATAGGAACCAGACGTCCACCTCTAAAAGCTCCCTCACAGAAAGTTCCTACATGAAATGGTTATGAATTCACTGCCTGATGACTGAGACGCTGTTTTATGATAGTTTAGAGAACTTAAACTCCATTCATGGTGGAGGGATACATGCAGGGCGCTGTGAGGCAAAATAGTCCCCAAAGAAAACTTATTATTTCAGATTTTCCACTATTTTCCATCATCAACATTCCATATAAACTCAGAAGACTCGTGTAGGTTCACTGGTGGTTCTGGATAGTAAATAAAATGTCTATATCTGTGTTGTAGTCATGGCGACCCCTGGTTCCTATCACCACCACTGTAAAGACATCTGAACCATTTCACACCAAACCACTCTGAATCTCTCTGATTACCTCACACACTGAATTATGGGGGAAACACTCCGTCAGCGACTCCTCTCAGTGAATCTCAGTGATATAAGCGGTTTTAACTCTCCGACTCTAAAGAACCTTTCAGTGTTCCTTAAAGTGCAGTTCTGTTTTATTTGGTGCTGAAGAATCCGGCCTTTTCCAGCCAACAGCTCTCGACCCCCCGAACTTCTCCCAAACTCAGAGGACCACCGTAACGAGGAAAAGACCGTAAATATCCCAACACGGATCCAATCAGAGACCAATTATCCTGAATTTCAATCCTGGACCATCCTGATTCGTCACTAAATTCACTGGAATGTCCTTGTTTATCGATTTTTCTGTGATGTGGCCTTTTATCAAACCAATCAATCAAATACGGCTGTGAAATCAGATTTAATCAATAATCACTATTCAAATTTGGAACGTTTCTCTTCCCGATCACTGCCGTCCAGTCGGAGGAGGCCGTTTGGTGGTCAGTTTTGCCAGAAAAGTCCTGAGGAGTCTGAGCTGTGGTGGCCCAATCCAGACACCTCTGACCCCTCCCCTCCCTTCGGCTGCTTTGGTGGTTTTTAAAGCGGTAGTTCGGCCAGAAGTGCTCCAGTTTCCCCCTCGCTGAGGTTCTGCAAGGGCTTCATAGACAATGGTTCTATATAGAACCATGAACACTCAAAGAACCATTTGCATGCTTAAATGGTTCTCTGCATGGTGAAATGTTTCTTCAGATTGATGGAGAATATGTTGGTTCTATCTAGCACCAAAAAGGGTTCTGCTATTGTTATGATGTCAAGCTTGTATACAGTAGAAGAACCCTTTTTGGTGCTACCTAGAACCATTTTGAAAAAGGTTCTGTATAGAACTATATATAGAAAAGTGACATTCTCCATCAAACTGAAGAAGTATTAAGCATACAAATGGTTCTTTGAGTGTTCATGGTTCTATATAGAACCCTTAACTGAAGAACCATCTAAGAGTGTAGTTAATCAGCCGAGACGTGTTAAACGTTTGATCTGGGTGTGGAGCTACGAGGCTGTAGCTAACAGCGCCAGGCTAGTTGGTGGGTTATAAGCTACCGTTACTTCTAAGCTACGAGGCTAATGTAGCTAACATGGAATAGAAGCTTATGTTCCACCAATTAGCATGGCGCTAACTGCTCAGTCTGTTCTGGCTGTGCTTGTGTCCATGTTTATAGCTAACATATCAGTGTCATACTAGTTTGTGGGATATGTGCTTCCATTACTTGTAGGCTATGAGGCTAATAGCTAACAATTTGTGGAAGCTTATGTTCCACCAATTAGCATGTTGCTAACTTCCCAGAGAGTTAGTTATTTAGCTTTACTTTAGTCCATATTTATAGACTGCATGTCAGCACAATGCTAGTTAGTGCGCTATAACTTCCATTACTTCTCAGCTATAAGGCTAATGTAGCTAACAAGTAGTGGAAACCTATACCCCACCAATTAGCATTGTGCTACTGCTCAAACAGTTCTTAGCTACGCTTGTGTCCATGTTTATAGCTAACATTTCAACACCATGCTAGTTGGGGAAGCTTCTATTAGTTGTAAGCTACGAGGCTAATATAGCTAACAAGTAATAGAAGCTTGTTCACCACCAGTTAGCATGGTGCTAACTGCTCAGGCAGTTTTTTAAGCAATACTTCAGTTCATGTTCATGGCTAACGTGTCAACACCAGGCTAGTTGGCGGGCTATAAGCTTCCATTACTTGTAAGCTACGAGGATAATGCAGCTAACCAATTAGCATGATGCTAACTGCTCTGTTTTTGTGTCATGCTTTAGTCCATGTTTTATAGCTAACATGTCAATGCCATGCTAGTTGGTGGGTTATAAGCTTCCATTACTTCTAAGCTGTGAGGCTAATGTAGCTAACAAATAGTGAAAACCTATACCCCACCAATTAGCATTGTGCTAACTGCCCAGTCTGTTTTGATGTCATGCTTTAGTCCATGTTTATAGACAGCATATCAACACCATGCTAGTTGGTGCTCTATAGTTTCCTTTACTTCTCAGCTATAAGGCTAATGTAGCCAACAAGTAGTGGAAACCTATACCCCACCAATTAGCATTGTGCTAACAGCTCAAACAGTTCTGGCTATGCTTGTGTCCATGTTTATAGCTAACATTTCAACACCATGCTAGTTGGGGAAGCTTCTATTAGTTGTAAGCTACGAGGCTAATGTAGCTAACATGGAGTAGAAGCTTGTACTCCACCGATTAGCCTGGTGCTAACTGCTCAGGCGTTTTTTTTAGCAATATTTCAGTCCGTATTTATAGCCAGCATGTTAGCACCATGCTAATTGGGGAGTATGAGCTTCCATTAACCGCGTTAGCTTCGTAGCTCCAGTGCTAACACCCTGCGTGTCCAGTGTGAGGCGAGAGGGGAAACTGGGTAAATCAGGCTTCTGCTCAAACTGTCGCTTTAACAGTATCGACAGAGGCTGGACATTCCTGAGCTGTCCACCTGTCACAAACCCACCAGGTGAGTTGAGACCTGCAGGCAGTGCCGAGGGGAGCAGGTCAGAGGTGATTCATGATTGGGGTTCCTGTCTGGTTAACATCTGTGGTTTGGTCTGGGTTCTAGATTAACTCTAATAAACCGTCTCATATTCATATCACACTGTATGTTCATCTGTGCACACAAATACAGTTAAAGCCACGAATACGCCTCATTATATAAACACTGTACAGTGGCTTTGTGTAATTTAACACACTGTATTATGAACATCGTCACACCTTTATTAGACCTGAGTGATTGTCATTATTCAGTAGTGTGACCAGTGACCGGCGAGCTGACCGTGTGTCTCTGTGTAGGCCTTTGGGTTTGACCCTCTGGAGGCGTACTATGTGTCTAAGTCTGCGGTGGTTTTTGGAGGGTTCTATCTGTTCTTCTTCACCGAAAAAGTCCTCAAGATGATCCTGAAGCCCAAAGAGAAGGTAAGAGTTCCACTGCTGGACGTTTTATTTATATATATATATATATATATATATATATACATAACCCTAACATACAGTGTATATACATATACTCTTATAAAAGATGGTTCTTTAAGGGGTCTTTTTATAAGGAAAATGGAACCATGAACACTCAAAGAGCTCTTTGCGTGATTAAAGGGTTCTTTGCATTGTAAAATCGCTCTACAGATTGGTGGAGAACGTGCATGAATGTGCTGTAGACGGCTCTATAGAGAACCTTTTTTGAAAAGGGACCTATGTAGCACCCAAAAGGGTTCTTTTATTTTTATAACTTTGACATCGTAACAATAGAAGAACCCTATTGGGTGCTATATAGAACCATTTTTAAAAAGGTTTTACATAGAACCATCTACAGCACATTCTCCATCAACCATTTTACCATGCAGAGAACCTAAAGACCCCTTGAAGAACCTTTTTTTTGTCTTTTTTTAAGTGTGTGTCTGTGTGTGTGTGTGTACTGTGTGTCTGTGTGTGTGTCTGTGTGTACTGTGTGTGTGTGTATGTGTACTGTGTGTGTGTGTGTGTGTGTCTGTGTGTGTGTGTGAGTGTGTGTGTGTGTGTGTGTGTGTGTGTGTGTGTGTCTGTGTGTACTGTGTGTGTGTGTATGTGTACTGTGTGTGTGTACTGTGTGTGTGTGTATGTGTACTGTGTGTGTGTACTGTGTGTGTGTGTATGTGTACTGTGTGTGTGTGTGTCTGTGTGTGTGTGTGTGTAAATGTACTGTGTGTGTGAGTGTGTGTGTGTGTGTGTGTCTGTGTGTACTGTGTGTGTGTGTCTGTGTACTGTGTGTGTGTACTGTGTGTGTGTGTGTGTGTGTGTGTGTGAGTGTGTGTGTGTGTGTGTGTGTGTGTGTGAGTGTGTGTGTGTGTGTGTGTGTGTATTGTGTGTATTGTGTGTGTGTGTGTGTGTGAGTGAGTGTGTGAGTGTGTACTGTGTGTGTGTGTGTGTGAGTGTGTGTGTGTGTGTGTGTGTGTGTGTGTGTGTGTGAGTGTGTGTGTGTGTGTGTGTGAGTGAGTGTGTGAGTGTGTACTGTGTGTGTGTGTGTGTGAGTGTGAGTGAGTGTGAGTGTGTATTGTGTGTGTGTGTGAGTGTGTGTGTGTGTGTGTGAGTGAGTGTGTGAGTGTGTACTGTGTGTGTTTGTGTGTGTGTGTGAGTGTGTGTGTGTGAGTGTGTGTGTGTGTGTGTACTGTGTGTGTGTGTGTGTGTACTGTGTGTGTGTCTGTGTGTACTGTGTGTGTGTGTATGTGTACTGTGTGTGTGTGTGTGTGTGTGTGTGTGTGTGTGAGTGTGTGTGTGTGTGAGAATATCAGTATTGTCCATAAGAGGTTAAATATGTACCTTGTGAAATAAAACAGCCTGTTTTCCTAAATAATCAGAAAATTTTGATCTTGTATTATTTTTCATCTTCAGTTCCACAGTCAGTTCATACAAGAGTGGCTGGTTAAAAACTGAGTGGCTGGTAGATTTTGAAAGCCACAAACTGCAGCTGGACAGAAGAGTTAATTTCATTTCCAGCCCTGTTTTATATATATTTATGTGTGAGTTAATAACCAGGAATAAAGATGTAATTCTTAACTACATTAACTGATTTCCTGATTTCAGCTTTTCTGGTCGAGGATTATAAAAGGTCACTAATTTGTTTACTGGACGATTCGTGTTACTGTGGACTTTAACCTTTAACCTGTCTGTTTGTGATCAACGTGTTGGGCTGGTTTAGTCACAGTGACATGAGTTCACTCTGTTTGAGGATGGAGGGTCCAGTTCAGCTGACCGATATTGATTTTTAATGTCCTGCTGGACGGCTGTAGTGCCTGGTTCACTTACGAATAGAAAAGTAATTGATATTCAGTTTATGGCCAGAAAATTCAGTTTACAGCTATAAAATCTGGTGTAATTTCAGTTCATGTCTGGAACATTCACCGAAAATTCAGAGACAATTTATTTTACCACTTTTTGACAACAAACATCACTTGATGACGAAAAAAGAAAATTAATTTTATGACCTGAAAATTCAACACGAGTTCAGTTTGTAATCAGAAAGTCAGTTTTCAACCAGAACTTCAGTGGAAATTCTGTTTACTGCCTGAAAACTGTGACCGACTTACCATAAAACCAGGCAGGAGCTCTTTATTTAACATGATGAACACGAGCTGATCATTACGTTATCACTGAGACTCTAATACATCGTTAATAAACAACCTTAGGAAATGTATACATTCAGTCTGACAGCACAGCACCTTTATTTACATATTTAATTTTATGTGATTTGTATTATTGACTTTCAAATATGTACACGGTGTGTGTGTGTGTGTGTGTGTGTGTGTGTGTGTGTGTGTGTGTGTTATTTATTTATATAGTAAAATCCTGAAGTTCTGTCAAACACTGTAAATTTTATTTTTATCTTTTATTAAAGCAAATGTAGTAGATTATTAGTTTAGTTATTAGTCGAGTGTTTATGTTGTGCTGGTTGTTGTTTATGCGACCTCATTGGTGGTTTATGATCAGTGATGAGCAGTGAAGTGTGTGAAGTGCGGTCGCTGTTCTGGCTGCAGTGAAGCTGCTGGTCCAGTTAAACAGGAGATTCTGGGACAATAACTCTCATTTTTCACTGACAGGTGAACAGATGAAGGAGTGCTGGAGCTGGAATGTGTTATAGAGGAATGTGTGGTGTGGGGGGGGGGGTTATGGGTGGGGTTCAGGAATATTGGCCTCAAATTTCTGATTTCAATTTCATGTTAATTTAAAAAAAAAAAAGAACAGTTCAGTGCAGTCGGTGTGTAACTCAGTGAGCTGGTGAAGTGTGCCCCCCAGTGGACAACAGCAGGATTTACACTGACCTCTCAGAGCAGCCTCAGTTTGAGTTTCCTCTCTATTTTTGTTTCTCCCTCTTTCTGTCTCTGTTGCTTTCTTTCTTGGTTCCATTTATTCTTTCTGTCTTTCTTTCTTTGTCTCTCTCTCTCTCTCTCTCTCTCTCTCTCTCTCTCTCTCTCTCAGGGAGGTCATGGTCACAGTCATTTCCCTGTAGATCGCTATGGTAACGGTGATGTGGAAGATGGAGTGATGGAGAAGCTGCAGAACGGAGAGGCGGGAGGAGGAGTGTCTCTGCCGAGAGTGGATGGAGAGATCAGGGGGGTCGCAGAGGAGGACCGAATGCTGAGCACCACACAGACGGTGCAGGTGAGCATCACTTATGGCCTACAGCAGTTTAGCCCCGCCCACTCGGCCTTCAGCAGTTTAGCCCCACCATTCAGCTACAGCAGTTTAGCTCCACCATTCAGCTACAGCAGTTTAGCTCCACCCATTCAGCTACAGCAGTTTAGCTCCACCCATTCAGCTACAGCAGTTTAGCTCCACCATTCAGCCTACAGCAGTTTAGCCCCACCCATTCAGCCTACAGCAGTTTAGCCCCACCCATTCAGCTACAGCAGTTTAGCCCCACCCATTCAGCTACGGCAGTTTAGCCCCACCCATTCAGGCTACGGCAGTTTAGCTCCACCCATTCAGCCTACGGCAGTTTAGCTCCACCCATTCAGCTACAGCAGTTTAGCTCCACCCATTCAGCTACAGCAGTTGAGCTCCACCCATTCAGCTACAGCAGTTTAGCTCCACCCATTCAGCTACAGCAGTTTAGCTCCACCGTTCAGCTACAGCAGTTTAGCTCCACCCATTCAGCTACAGCAGTTTAGCTCCACCGTTCAGCTACAGCAGTTTAGCTCCACCCATTCAGCCTACAGCAGTTTAGCTCCACCCATTCGCCTACAGCAGTTTAGCTCCACCCATTCAGCTACAGCAGTTTAGCTCCACCCATTCAGCCTACAGCAGTTTAGCTCCACCCATTCAGCCTACAGCAGTTTAGCTCCACCCATTCAGCTACAACAGTTTAGCTCCACCCATTCAGCTACAGCAGTTTAGCTCCACCCATTCAGCTACAGCAGTTTAGCTCCACCATTCAGCTACAGCAGTTTAGCTCCACCCATTCAACTACAGCAGTTTAGCTCCACCCATTCAGCTACAGCAGTTTAGCTCCACCATTCAGTCTACAGCAGTTTAGCTCCACCATTCAGCTACAGCAGTTTAGCTCCACCATTCAGTCTACAGCAGTTTAGCTCCACCATTCAGTCTACAGCAGTTTAGCTCCACCATTCAGTCTACAGCAGTTTAGCTCCACCCATTCAGCCTACGGCAGTTTAGCTCCACCCATTCAGCCTACGGCAGTTTAGCTCCACCATTCAGCCTACGGCAGTTTAGCTCCACCCATTCAGCCACGGCAGTTTAGCTCCACCCATTCAGCCACGGCAGTTTAGCTCCACCCATTCAGCCACGGCAGTTTAGCTCCACCCATTCAGCCACGGCAGTTTAGCTCCACCCATTCAGCCACAGCAGTTTAGCTCCACCATTCAGCTACAGCAGTTCAGCTCCACCATTCAGCTACAGCAGTTTAGCCCCACCATTCAGCTACAACAGTTTAGCTCCACCATTCAGCTACAGCAGTTTAGCTCCACCATTCAGCTACAGCAGTTTAGCCCCACCATTCAGCTACAGCAGTTTAGCTCCACCATTCAGCTACAGCAGTTTAGCTCCACCATTCAGCTACAGCAGTTTAGCTCCACCATTCAGCCATATTTACATACATCAGTCTGTTTAACTGTGAAGGATAAAGAGAGGCCGGACAACGATCATGTAGAGATTAATTACTCTCTATAATGTAGATTATTAATCTCTCTCTCTCTCTCTCTCTCTCTCTCTCTCTCTCTCTCTCTCTCTCTCTCTCCGCAGGACTCTCAGAGCGCTGGGGGAGGAGGGGGTGGTGGGGGTAGTACAGGTGGGTGTTACTGGCTGAAGGGTCGAGCGTACTCTGATATCGGCACTCTGGCGTGGATGATCACTCTGAGTGACGGACTCCACAACTTCATCGACGGTCTGGCCATCGGCGCGTCCTTCACCGCCTCTGTCTTCCAGGGCATCAGCACCTCGGTGGCCATCCTGTGTGAGGAGTTCCCTCACGAGCTGGGTGAGTGTCACTGACCCCTCGCTCTGCGTCACTGACCCCTCACTCTGCACCCTCAGTCAGCGTGAGGGCATGTCAGACTCCGATCTGGAGCTCCAGAAATCTGTGACAATAATTCCATTAAAATAAAATTAATTTCTCTCACAAAACGTCACAATAAAATCCACTGCGTCTGCACCTTCAGGGAGGTTCTGCTGACACAGGTTCCTCAGGAGGAGACAAATGTGGATAAAAGAGCAAAACATGTATTTTATATTTATTTAGAGACAGTAAAAATTATAATAAAGACTACAGAGCCCAAAATTAAGGTGCATAAAGAATAACTTCATAATCACGTCTTGGCACATTGAATCAAAATGAAACCGAATTGTGAGAGTCTCACACCCAAAGTGATGCCCATTGGGGGGCGCCAACCACATTCTTTGAGTCTGCTTTGGGACGGTGACTGTCTTAGAAAGAACCACAGAAATAAAATGGAAAGCAGTGCAGTTTAATTAAATAGAATGGAAGTGAATGGAATGGAGTGAAAGTGAACTGAATTGAACTGACTGAGTCTCTGTCTCCCTCTGCAGGTGACTTTGTGATCCTGCTGAATGCCGGGATGAGTATCCAGCAGGCTCTTTTCTTCAACTTCCTGTCGGCCTGCTGCTGTTATCTGGGAATGGGCTTTGGAATTCTGGCTGGAAATCAGTTCTCTCCAAACTGGATCTTCGCTCTGGCGGGGGGGATGTTTCTGTACATCGCGCTGGCAGATATGGTGAGGGTCCTTTAAAAAAACACTATCTCAGTGTCACTGCTGTGCTGAAAACAGTCCACCACCCAAATATGTGGTCCGTGGTGGTCCTGCGGGGGTCTTTCCACTGATGAAAGGTGTAGAAGCTGAATAACTGATTCAGTCTGTAACTGTAAACCTACACAGGCACCTGTACAGTAAAGAGAGTGTAGAATCCTGTAGGAGGAGCTAATAAACTGTCTGATAAATGTAAATCAGACTTTGATTAAACTGTTACTTCAAGCATCCTTTAACATTAGTGGAGTTCAGGGCGTGTGAGGTCTGTAATAATTCCGCAGTAGGACAGTAGAGGTCAGCAGAGGTCAGCAGAGGGAGTTTATTGGGGTGAGTAAAGTCGCAGCTGTGATTCGGTCACAGTAGGTCACTGCAGGGGTGATGGTGGTCACTGTCGCTGTGTCTCGTTTTCGGGGCTTCGACCTTCAAAGGTTGCGTTTCTTGGCTGCATGTCTTCAATATCGACAGTTTCTTCCACCAAAAAAGTAGTTCAGCCATGATTGGACTTTTGCAGCTGTTGTTACTTTAGCAGCTGGTGAAGTTGTTATGAATGCACTGTCTGATGTTAATGAGTGTGTTTACATGCACTTAATAATCCGATAACTGCAGAAAATCAGATTGTGTCATGAGCTGGTTCAGAGTGTTTTCATGCTCTTGGGTAATCAGATAAAGGGGAAACTCCGGGTCTACATGAGTCAGACAGTAATCGGATTTCTGCTTTGCAACCAGCCAATAAACTCACAGAAGAAGACGTGATGTAAACGTAACGTTAAACTCACTTCATCTGCAAGTTAATAAATGATGAATAATGAATATTATATAAACCCTTCGTTTGGTCGAGTGTGTATTCGGTTTCAGCGTCGCTCCAAAGGTGTTGTGCTCGTCTCACGGATTCTGCGTTAGACGCTGCGTTAGACGCTGCGTTAGACGCCGCTCGCTGTTTCCGGGATGGCGCTCTGTTTTCACACAAGCTCAGACTGAGAGAAACGAAAGAAATCAGAGTGAGAGTTTACAGCACTGAGAAACCCCATTACTGACTCAGATCAGCCTCTTTATCAGACTTACTAATCAGATTTATAGACCTTAATCTAATCTAGGAAATCAGAGAGTGTGTTTACACGACCACTTAAAAATCAGATAACTGCAGAAATCAGATAGTGATCAGATTATTGCACTCACTGTTTTACTGTAACGTTTTAGCCATAAGTGTGTATTAATTAGCCGCAGCCTCAGTTCAGGTCTAAGCGCTGTGTATCTGTGCCGTCTGTGTGTCCAGTTCCCGGAGATGAACGAGGTGAGCCGAGAGGAGGAGGAGGCCGGAGGGAGCGGCTCCCTTCTGACCTTCGCCATCCAGAACGCCGGCCTGCTGACCGGATTCAGCATCATGCTCCTCCTGACCATCTACTCGGGACAGATCCAGCTCGGATAGCAGTGGACCGGGACCGACCCCGCATCCCGCCGGACTGAACTTGACCTTTTAACCCCTCGTCTTCAGGGGTGAGCCCAAAGAAGAGTGAGTGACGGACTCAGACGTGAACTCTGAGCCTAAGCGAGACCCCTGGACCAGCTGGACTAGGTCTGGACCAAAACACCCGAATTTAAGACCTTTTACCAGTCGAGACGTAGTGAGTTAGTTCCGGACCTGCAGACGAATCTGACTGAGTCAAACTGACCTAGAATATGCATATTAATATGCACTTTTCCATGAGTTCCCTCATTTTCACCGTTTCTCTTTCCATTTTTACGTCTTCCTTTCTTTTCCGCCCTCTTCATTTCCTGCGGAGGCCTTGTCTGTTTAACGTGTGTTTAGACTCGTAAACTCCTCTGTTTCAGCGTGTTACTCAGTCCTGTTACCCCAGACGCTTAACCCAGTCCTGCTGGTGCTGAAAACGTAGTCATTTATGCCCGAAAACGCTTCTTAAAGCGATACTGTGCTGTTTTTCAGCTTCATCTCCATCTGTTGCGTCTGTAGAGCACATCGATCGATTACCACGTACAGCTCCTCTCAACCCTGAGCTTAGAAAAGAGCAGAAAACCTCTTAAAACTCACTTAGAATAGACGTCAGAGGGCAGGTGCAGAATTTGGCTAATAAACGTTTTGAAATAAAGTTTTATCCAACTTTCCAACATCAGAGCAACACAATTTCAGCAAAGTAGTTCAGGTTAATTTCCCTTTCCTTACGGCCGTTTTTACACAGTGAAACTTCCATGCAGCTGTTGTACGTTGCTTGCAACATAATTTCCATGCAACTTGGCAGTTAAATGACGCAATTTAAAACGCAACACATTCAGTTTCACCATGATCAGCAAATTTAGCAGCTTTTCTTTTTTAATACAGCCCATCGTTCATGCGACAGTCATGTGATGTTATTTACATTTACATATCTGTACCAAATTCTATCCTTGTACAATTTTTCATGCTGCCGTTCTCATCGTTCATTTTTCTGTCGTAGTTTCCTTCATTCAGAGCTTTAATGGATCTGAGCTCTGTGTAAATTTAGGGATAAGAAATAATATTTAAAAATCAAGTTTGGAGAAAATCCAGCTGCATAGATCACAATACAGCAGCTAAAGAAGAGCAGACGGTGGAGGGAGCAGCTGTTAGCGTGAGCTGCTTAGCACTTTACAGAAACATTAGCTTTGAGAAACTCAGTTTGTTCTTGCAGCTCAGAAAACGGACAAAATGAAAGTCAGAACGACCTCCTTTACATCCGCCCTCTAGTTTACTTTCACATCCAGTGATCTGGTGAGGTCGCCTGATAAGATCATGTGGTTCATCATCTTCGTTTTGATTTCAAACACGTGAAACTTTTGCAACATTCAAATGCAGCTTTTCACAGAGGGCCAGATCACAGCATGTCAAAATACCAGAGGGATGAAATATTATTCACAAATGATTCTAAATATTTACGATATCAGAGGACAGAATCAGAGCTTCTGTGTTTCCTATCACTGAGGAAAAGATGCACGAGGCTTCTTTATTGTTGCTCAGAGCAGTTTAGATCCATAAGCTTATAATAAACAATTAAACTGTTAGGAACAGTAAAACGTGTCTGATGTATGAATACATTCCTGTTTAAAGGATTCGTTATTGACGTGTTCAAAAATATAATTAGTGAGATAAACTAAACAAAAATCTATAAATTAATCATCATAATCAGTCGTTATTGCTCCTCCTTAAAGGGTTAACATGTCCTGATCTGCTGAATCTGCTCTGATGTGAAGTCGGTGCTGTGAGACTCGGAGCTGCAGCTGCTTTAGTTCCTCTCCTGAATGTTTACTGTGATGTTCTGCTGTTTAAATCTGCGGTTCTCGGCGTTGGTCTGAGCTTTATGGCTCAGTCTGGACTAAATGTGTCTTTTCAATTAAGTCATGATCTCAAGATAACAACCCAGAAAATTATGGCCTCTTCATGGCCTCCCTGGACTTCTGTATCCCAGGACGTGACGTGGGTCTGTTTTGTCTGTTCTGGGTCGTCAGATGTCAGAGAAAGTAAACATCGAGACACGTCGTGTGCCGTAAAACCTTCTGAGGTATCGCGATTCCGTTCGGCCGTATCGTCCGGCTCTAACCCGGCGCCCTTAGACCTCTAATACAGTGAGTTGGTATCAGTGAGTCTGTTGGTTTCTGAGTTCAGGGAAACGTGTTGAAGGTGTGATCCGAGCTAATTTGATCACTACAGATACAGATTAACAGAAAACCATAATCAATACAGATCAATACCTAATGTTCCCTTTATCTCTGTGCTAGCGTGTTAGCTGTAGCTGCTGCTATCTAGAACATTATCTGAACTATCTAATCTAGATAAACTGACGCTCATAACTTATTAATCAAACTCCTGTTTGTGACGTTACTGGTCAGTAAGCGAGTGCGTTAGCCTTTAGCTTTAGCCTTTAGCTTTAGCTTTAGCCAGTAAGTCGTACCTGTGAAGGTGTTCACTTTCACGTGCTGCTGTTTTTACCCAGAATGCCATTCAAACAACTCAACAAACCAAACTGAAAACTCTCTCAACTAAACAAACACTATTAAATACGAACAAGACTCTTATTTTGTACTGGACGAGTTAGAGAGGCTGAAATCTAGTCGACCAAATACCTGCTTTCCTTTATTCTCACTGCACTGGACAAAAAATCATATTTTACTGAGTGAAATCAGATTAAATCTGATCAATATATCTAATGTTTCTCATTATTGGGCTGTTGTAAGAATATCAGAAGATTATTAAAGATCTGCATATTATAACTTGTTTTTTTAAGTCATTATTATTATTATTATTATTATTATAAGCTTTATTTCTTGGAATAAGCCAGTTATTTTGCATTACATCAAAATTCTGTGTTATTTCCTGAAAAAGGATCTGTGTCATTTACTTCATTATTTTTAAAATAAGGCCGTTTTAATGCATTATTTATTGAAAAAAAAGCTAAATTATTTACCAGTCGGGAAATTTCACTAGATAAAAAATTACTCAAATTCTAAAAATATGTTAGATAATCTTTTAATAATCTTGCAACAGTCTCATAATTAGAAATGCATATTTTGAGTGGATTTAAGATGGTTTCATGTGTAAATATGATTTTTTGCAGTGTAATTGATTCTTTACTGTTTCTTTATAAATGTGGATTCGTTTTTGGTCTGCCTGCCTGCCTGTCTGTCTGCCTGTCTGTCTGCCTGCCTGTCTGTCTGCCTGTCTGTCTGTCTGTCTGCCTGTCAGGGTGGGTGCTCTGTGCTGATGTTCTCTCAGTAGTTCAGTGTGACAGACAGACGCCGTACGGTTCTCAGATCAGAGTCTGTTTATCACATTTATTGTTCTTTTGTTTTGTTTAATGTTCTGCTGTGTTCTGTGTTCTGAAGTGACCGTAGTTGCGGTGATTGATCTGGACGCTGGTTCTTGTGTAGCAGAGCTGAACAGTTTGGACTGAAGCTGCTCAGATGTTGAGATGATGGTCCGTCTGACTGTCGGTCTCAGAACCCCATTCACTGACCGGTCACTAAAGCTTGATATCCTTCACACCTACAAAAGATGGTTCTGCGAGGGTTCTTTCATAAAAGCAAAGGTTCCATATAGAACCATGAGTGCTAAATACAACCATTTGTATGCTCAAATGGTTCTTCAGATTGATGGAGAATGTGTTGGTTCTGTATAACACCACAAAGGGTTCTTCTGTTGTTACGGTTTCAAGCCTGTAACAATAGCAGAACCCTTTTTGGTGCTATACAGAACCAACACATTCTCCGTCAGTCTGAAGAACCATTTCACCATGCACATGCTTGTAACTACACTCTTAAACAAAAGATGAAAATGGTTCTATGTAGAACCATGAATGCTCAAAAACCCTGCATAAGTAAAGGTTCTTTGCATCATGAAGCAGTTCTTCAGATTCATGGGGAATGTGCCGTAGATGGTTCTATATAGAACCTTTTCGACAAGGGTTCCGTATAGCACCAAAAAGACTTTGATTGATTGTTACAAGCTTGACATTGTCACAACAGCGGAACCCTTTTTGATGCTTTATAGAACCACATACAGCACGTTCTCCATCAATCTGAAGAACACTTTCACCATGCAGAGAACACGTTAAGCATGCAAAGCGTTATTTGACTCATTGTTCTAAATAGAACCATTATATTTACCAAAGAACCCTTGAAGAACCATCTTTTTAAGACTGTATATTTCCACCTTACAGAGGTGACATCAGTGAACTAAAGGTAGAGTAACTGACCACATTATCAGATCCACACCGAGAGACAGGACTGACTCCAAATCAGACTCAGAACCATCAAACATCACATCTCCAAACAGAGCTTTACAGGAGAACTCGGAGTGGAGGTTAAAGGGACATTCCACCAACTTTTTAAATTCCCCCATAACTCAGTGTGTGAGATGTAGTCAGAGTCATTCAGAGTGGTTTGGTGTGAAATGGTTCAGATGTCTTTACAGTGGTGGTGATAGGAACCAGGCGTGGCCATGACTACAACACAAATATAGACATTTTATTTACTATCCAGAACCACCAGAGAACCTACACGAGTCTTCTGAGTCTATATGGAATGTTGATGATGGAAAATAGTGGAAAATCTGAAATAATAAGTTTTCTTTGGGGACTATTTTGCCTCACAGCGCCCTGCATGTATCCCTCCACCATGAACAGAGTTTAAGTTCTCTAAACTATCATAAAACAGTGTCTCAGTCATCAGGCAGTGAATTCATAACCATTTCATGTAGGAACTTTCTGTGAGGGAGCTTTTAGAGGTGGACGTCTGGTTCCTATCAGCACCACTGTGAACAGTTCTGACTCGGTCAGTTTATCTAGAACAGAGCGTTTCACACCAAACCACTCTGAACCGCTGAATTATGGAGTATTAAATTAATTATGTTTTAATCTGTTCATCTGGGAGTTTTAATGCAGTGCAGACGATGACGGCTTTATAAATGGGTAATATAACTGCGCTGTGTTCTCTAATGACAAACTGAGGCTCCTTGTGAAGAACTCATCACCTGATGAGCTGAATCAGGAGTTTGGAGAGCCGGTGATCTAGAACCCTCAGTCCGGTGATCGTTCTCGACAGTTTAAACTTCAAAAATACACTGAATCATAACTCGACACAGAAAACTTGGTCTTTATGTCGTAGACATTCATTACTGTACTGTGATCCGCTTCGCCTATTATGGGATGCATCCTGCGTCTTCCATACTCCATGCATTCCAACGGGCTTGTTTCACCCCAACTCCTCCCACGAATTAATTTCCTCATTAAATCTCTTAACTGATTCAGTTCTGTTGGAATATTAATGGTTTGTCACTCACAGCTCAGCGTGCAGTTCAGAAAATGAACACTAGAGGGCAGAAAGTTTGTTTATTAGCTCGTTCTGCTCTGCTGTGTCTTTTTAAATTTAAATTTAAAACTTAGATTAAAACGGTTTAAATACCCAGTTAGAGAGAAAAACACAGCGCTGGTACTTTTACTGCAGGCTTCTACTTTGGATACGGTTTTATTTTATTCTGCGCTGAATATGGAAGCACATTTTCAGTATTTTTAAGTTTATATTAGACAACGACTCCCAGACTATTATTATTATTATTATTATTATTATTATTATTATCTGTCCTGTTCATCTCCATCAAAGTGACGAATGTGCGAAAATATAAAGCAGAACATAAAATATTATCTGCTAATAACTGTAGACGTCTGGCCGAGTCATGTGACTATTCATAATGTTACTCATCACATCTTTAAACTGTTACCCACTTTATTTATTACAGTCGGTCTGTCAGAGTCATTACATGTTCTGAGTCTGGTGTCTAGAACGTGCTCTACGCTCCCTGATGAGGATGTAATCTGTTTTTGTTCTGTTGCTGGAGACGATGTTCAAAGCACGTTGTTGTTTTGTTACTGTATATCTGTCTGTATATGATATTAATGTGTAATAACTGAAGCCAGTATGTTTTTAATTCTGATGAAGCCATTTTTTGTCCTGGGTCTCGACTGCTGTGATGATCATGTGAGAAGCGTAGGTTCTTTTTGTTCCGCTGAAGCTGTCAGAGCTGAATCGTCTGTGTGACGGATGAAGAAGCTTCAGTGGAAGATTTGCTGGAAAAAAAAACATAGAAAATGTGCAAATTTTGTGTTTTTACTGATTTACTCCTTTCAGTTTAGTGATGATTAAACTGCAGGCAGGAATTCGTGTTCACTGACGACCCTCATTCACTGTCCAGTGCTTAATTAATATTATTTTAATGCATGTTCTGACTCGCATGTTGGAATATATTTAGAGATTATTGCAATATGAGGATGTTAAATTAATGCTCAAACAGCATCTCTTGTTCATAAATATAAATCTCCAAACGTTTATATTTTTGAAACAAGAAATTGTGTAATATAAATATAAAATATGTTTATTTAAGACATTTGCATGTGTTAATGTAACAGAGCCAAAACATTTGATCACTGGAGCAATTCAAGCATGAATATCTGTAAAAAATCAGATGTTTTTTAAGACAACATGCAGTTTATTATCTCTAATTATTACTCTTTAATTAAGTGTTCTGATAATTGAATCGGGTCATTTCTTTAAAGACTGTCTCTGTATTTTATCACCTTTTTTGTTTGTTTGTGTTCTTAAACTTCGAGAACTCTGAGAGTGACCCTCATTTACAGTGTACACACTTAAGATGGTTCTTCAAGGGTTCTTTAGTGAAGACTGGTTCTATATGGAAATGTGAACCCTCAAAGAACCATTTGCATGCTTAAAGGGTTCTTTGCTTGGTGAAATGGTTCTCTATAGCACCAAAAAGGGTTCTGCTGTTGTACACATAAGCTTGACATTGTTACACTAGCAGAACCCTTTTTGCTGCTAAACAGATCCAGCACATTCTCCATTAGTCAGAAGAACCATTTCACCATGCAGACAACAGTTTAAGCACGCAAATGGTTCTTTGAGTGCTCATGGTTCTATATAGAACCACTGTCTTTACTAAAGAATCATCTTTATAAAGTGTGTAGAGAACAGAGAACAAGGGATTGAAAAGAGTAATAAGCAGTAAATATAAGAACATAAACCAGGAAAGAAAGACAAAATAAAGTGTAAACTAGTTAAAATTAGCACATTTAAAACAAGTAAACTCATCTAATTAAAAAGAAAATGATAATATTAATAATAATATGACAAAATCAAACCTGAAGTAGCTAGAACAGCTGGATAAGCGTCATCTTGTTTGTCTCCTTTGTAGAAATGTTCTGATATTTTTAACAGCTGTTCCTGCAGCCGCGCTGCAACGCTTTGGGACTTTTATTTTGAAACGGCCGCTCCACGCCTCCTGCTCGTGTTTTTCAGCTCAGTGTGTTCAGAGCTGTTTCAGTGTGAGAGTTCAGTTTGGAGCCGAGCAGAGCTGCAGTTCAGGACCTTTAATCTGAGTTATTCTCACCGTTTTAATCAGTTCAGTGACTTTTACCTTGTGAACCTGAGCGCGCGCTTCAAGTAAGCAGTGCAGGTGTTGCTCAGACAGGGAGCTTTAATACAGAGGGAGCTGCTTTAAACAGACTGGGGGATTCATTCTTCACCCTCAGTCAGAATGAGGCTCCTCTTCATCCTCATCTGGATCCAGATGTTCAGCCACACCGCTGGTGAGTCACACAGACAAACTCAGGGACTCTTAAAAGCCTCTTAACTGCAGAATAAACACTTCAAAGAGCCTCATTTGACCTGAGTGACCTGTGACTGTATACCTGCTCTTTAAACTCTGGCTCTCAGTGTTGAAGCTCTGTAGTGTTTATTAACTATTATAGTGATGAAATAGTGATAAATCTGGAGTAATAGGTTTTATTTGGGGACTATTTTTGCCTCAGAACACCCTGCATGTATCCCTCCACCAGGAATGGAGTTTAAATACACATTTAAGTGCAGAATTGTGGATCTCTTAAAGGGGCATTCCACAGATTTTTCTAAATTTTCGGCATGATTAACTGGTTAAGATGTAAACAGAGCGGTTCAGAGTCGTTCAGAGTGGTTTGGTGTGAAACGCTCTGTTCTAGATAAACTTACAGAGTCAGAACTGTTCACAGTGGTGGTGATAGGAACCAGACGTCCACCTCTAAAAGCTCCCTCACAGAAAGTTCCTACATGAAATGGTTATGAATTCACTGCCTGATGACTGAGACACTGTTTTATGATAGTTTAGAGAAGATTGTAAGCTGAACTTCTCAACCTCTGAATTTTGCAGAAAGCGTGTGGAGTTGCCCTTTCAGCCAGTTCAGCTGGGTTAATGTTGAAGTGTTGAATCAAAACTCCTGAGTTAAGATTTAATTCCTTTAAATGTGAAATTAAGTCTCTTGGAGACTCCTTCCTGAGGCCTGATTAAACCCTCAGCCTGGACTCTTAGAAAGGGTTCTTCAAAGGTTCTTTAGCAAAGACAATGGTCTGTACAGAACAATGAACATTCAAGTAACTATTTGCATGATTAAAGGGTTCTGTGCATGGTGAAATGGTCCGTCAGTCTGATGGAGAATGAGTTGTACATGGTTCTATATAGAACATTTCTGAAAAGAGTTCTATGTCAAGCTTGTAAGAATACTAGAACCATTTTTGGTGCTGTAAAGAACCATGTACAACACATTCTCCATCAGTCTGAAGGACCATTTCATCATGCGCTGAACCCTTTATCATGAGTGTTACTGGTTCCATACAGACCTTTGGTTTTTACTGAAGAACCCTCAAAGAACCATCTCTTTTGCAGTGCAGAGTAAATGGATTTTAACAGTGAATCATTGGAAAAGTTGTACAGAACTTAATGTCCGTCATCCGGCAGTGAATTCATAACCATTTTATGTAATAACTCTCTGTGAGGGAGCTTTAGAGGCATTTTAATTAGGCCGAAATTTTAAAAATTTGGATGGAATTCCCCATTAACTCTTGTCATATTGAATTAAACCTCTTCATTTGCTGAATTCTGACGGGCAGTGTTTATTTAAGCTGAGCTGGACACAGATGAAGCTGTTCAGGGCTGAGATTGATGCGCTGTGAGCTGGTTTATGGGGTTTAATATCTGCTGTGTGTTTTTCTCGTAGCTCAGTCGTGTGAAGGACGCTGTGGTGAGAAACTCGCCGCCTGTTCCTGTCACTCCACATGTGAGTCGTTGATGGACTGCTGTGACAATTTTAAGCAGTTTTGCCTTGAAATCTCGCCCCATTCCGGCTCTCTGCTCGGAGGAACCGACTTCAGGATCCTCAACGTCACGTTTGACCGCAGCGCCACCCTGACCTGCAGGTAAACAGCGACGCCCAGTCAGGCGTCCAGACTGCAGAGCAGAATCTCACTGAGCCGGTCTGAGAGAATAACTGACCCAGAGAGATGCCAGGCAGGTGGACATGAAGGGCAGTACAGTCTGATTTAACCCTTAAAATCCAAAGAGCCCAGATTATATTTACATATTTAATTTTCTGCACTCATTATGACTCATTATGACAGTCATAATTCATTTCTACAGGGTCATTTCCAGCCTTTCTTTAACCTCTACAGTTAAACAGCCCATAGGTGACTGACATATGCAAATGAGCTCTGTTCTGACTGGCTGTCCTCTGCTGTGCTGCACACAAAGTGCAGTTTGAAGAGCTCTTTATAGTTTCAGCATTAATGAGTAGAAATGTGAGTGTTTATGCAGCTTAGTTTACATATATGGCATATATAGTATTTGTAAAGTATTTAGTATTTATTATGAATTATTCAGTATCTACTATGAATTATTCAGTATCCACTATGAATTATTCAGTATCCACTATGAATTATTCAGTATTCATTATGAATTCTTCAGTATCTACTATGAATTCTTCAGTATCTACTATGAATTATTCAGTATCCACTATGAATTATTCAGTATCCACTATGAATTATTCAGTATCCACTATGAATTATTCAGTATTCATTATGAATTCTTCAGTATCTACTATGAATTATTCAGTATCTACTATGAATTATTCAGTATCTACTATGAATTCTTCAGTATCTACTATGAATTCTTCAGTATCTACTATGAATGGTTCAGCAGTAGCTCTTATAACAGTAATAGTTTAATCCAGACTCGTGGAGTTTGAGTGGTTGTCTGTGCTCTTGTGTTCATACACTGAATAAAGTTGCTCTATTTTGATGTGTGAATCGTTTCTGCATTAATAAAATGTGATTGTGTTGATGTAAGATGTGTTATTAATGTGTAATTGCGCTGTGACTGTGTTCAGTGTGAACTGCTGTTGTGTTTTTACTGACTGTTGAACTGAAACAGTCGGGCAGTTCAGACGGAGTTAATCTTTAACAGGAGATTTAAAGGTCCTGAATGTGAGCCGCATTTAAATACTCATTTAAAATAACGCTAAACAATAATTAACGGTTCAAAGGAAACAGCGAAACACAGCAGACTGAGTATTACAGTCATAATCAGAGCTCATAAAACTACATTCTGCACATTAGATCTGAGGTTTGATATCTAGGACACAGACAGATGTCGTTTGTTTTCTATTTCAACACACAGTGTGTGAATTAATAAGGGGTTGCTATGGCAACACATGCATGCATTAAAGTAGCATGAGCTGCTGTTGAGCTACTGTAAGCAGTTTTGGTCTAAAGTTACATTTAAAGTGGCGTTAATGAAGTTTTACAGTATTATATTTTATCTGAAGGTCACTGATAACAATAACGACGTGTGGTGAATCTGCATATCGACTCCTCGAAACAATATTATCACCACGATTTGGTTCTACTGTGATTATTTATAGATTTATTAATGGTATTGTGAGTATTGCTGTATGACAGATTAGTTTATTAGTGTTGTTTTTATTTTATTCCTCCAAAAGAAACTTTTAATGTAAAAGGAAGTTACACTGAATTCATCTCACTGTTTATTCAATCAAACAGAACAACATTCAAAACATTCAGTTATATTTATGTATTTACAGATGATATTATTCATAAAGTGGACAAACTACCTTTAAAAATCTGATTGGCTGAGTCGCGTTTAAAGCTGTTGTAAAATATCCAATACACACACAGCTATGACCGCATCACAGCGACTGAGCTCTGTATCACTGCGCCACAGCACGAAAACCCTTCAGCTGTTAATGAATAATCTCTGACTTTAACGCTGATCACATGGAGCAACAATGAAGGAGGAACCCAGTTCTGTATAAACTGAGGGGCTGACAGCTTATGTTCTTATCTAGAACCAGGCTGGTCAGCTAGCTAACAGGCTAAAACATAGCAAACATGCTAAACAGCTCCATCATTAATATCACAGGCTTGAATTAAAGCACTTACAGTGTGATTCACTGTAAAACTGCAGTATAAAAGCCTAAAAATGTCACCTGAATGTTTTACACACTTCAAATGTTCCTGTTTCAGTCAGAAGTAGCGTCAAACCCAGACTGAATCCCAAACGGCTCTGTACTCCCTAAATAGTGTTCTAGATATGAAAGTTTAGAAATTCCAGCCTCTACAGCCAAACAGCACATCATGTATCGAGTGTGGATGAGTCTGAATCCCAAATGACTGTTTCTCAGCTGTATTTGCTCTGTTGGGCTGCAGGATCCAGTATTTAAACTCCTACGTAGTGCACTATGTAGGGAGCAGGGAGCCGTTTGAGATTCAGCCCCAGTGTGTGAAGAGGGGCGTGGCTGGATTGGTGCTAAATAAGACTCTCAGTGGTGATTTGGTACCAAAAAGTACTTATAAAGCGAAAGGTTCTGCATTAAACAGTGCTGTGTGATGGCTAAAAGCCACTTGAGGCCGTGCGTTACAGTGATTTAACCACAGGGAAGGGAGTTTCTACTCTGCAGTGCGTCGTCCCAAAGAACACCCTTCCTGACAAAATCACTGTAACGCTCGGCCTCAAGTGGCTCATCACTTTATTATTTTACATATTTAAAAAACACTAAGCCAGAGATGTTTACAGGGCAGGTGAATGTGATGTTGGAAACCAGAGGGTCAGTGCTGTTCTTTAACACACAGTATTGATGATGTACTGAACGTATTTACTCCTGACTCTAATTGTGTGTGTGTGTGTGTATGTGTGTGTGTGTATGTGTGTGTGTGTGTGTGTGTGTGTGTTTGCAGGTTTAAGTCTGAGATTGTAACTCAGGGTTTTGTGGACGTGGACGGTGTTGGTCACTGTATTTCGCCGATGCTGTTCGAGTCCGGCTGGATCCCCTTTGAAGTCTCCACTGACGGAGTGAATTACAACAGAGCGGGCAGGTGGCTCTCAGGTGAGCGTCCAGCACAGTTTAAGGTATTTTTACAGGTGTGAAACTTTACTGGAGCTGGATTAGTTCAGGGATTTGATTGTATCGGTAGTTTGGGATAAAATAGCTGACATTTACCGTCAGCCTGTAAAACTACACACACTGCAGATTCATACCGGAGTAATGTGGCGCTCATTGCTACACATTAGTCATTAGTAACTGCATCTTTTACTAGTCTGATTGATTAATTGATTGTTTATTGATTGATCAGTGCATCACAGTAAGATGAGCGCGGCGTTTAAGCTGCTGCTGGTGAACGGGACACACTGGCAGTACTACGGCACGCCGGGGGTGGGTGGGGTTCTCCAGATGGTGTGGAACGCCTCACTAATAAATGCTGAGAGAGTCAACATCGAGCTGTGGGGCTACGAGGAGACGGGTGAGTAGAACAGCTCAGTTACTGTTAATATTTCAATCAAACAGCCGTTATTTTTGCAGTGACCCTCATTTTCACTGCAGCTGAAATGAAACGAAATTCAGATGGAATTTAATTCATTTTAAACAAAAAGGAACAAGTCTAAATGAAATTATCCAATCAAACAAAATCAAATAAGATAAATGTGAAAAAAATAAGAGAACAATTAAGATTCAGTTAAGAAGAGGAACAATAAAATAAAACCAAGATAATAAAGTAATTAATAAAACTTTATCATAAAGGGATAAATAAGGCAAACTGAAGGTTTGAAACAGTCAATTAAAAGATATGATAAAAAGTAATAAAATTAATGAATCAATAAATAAGTGAATAAATACATTTATACTGATTGTGTGTGAAAGTCTTACTGTCAGCACATTTTTATTTCAAGTATTCCAGATTTTAGGAATAAACATGACTGACAACTTTACCAGGCCTTTACCTTGTGCTTCCATTAACTGGCCACTTTATTAGGCTGAATGGGCGGGGCTAATCTGCTGTAGGCTGGATGGGCGGAGCTAAACTGCTGTAGGCTGGATGGGTGGGGCTAATCTGCTGTAGGATGGATGGGCGGGGCTAATCTGCTGTAGGCTGGATGGGCGGGGCTAAACTGCTGTAGGCTGAATGGGTGGGGCTAAACTGCTGTAGGCTGACAACAAACTGTTTTACAGAGATTTTGATTTTGGTGAAATGAGCCCTTTAATCTGATCTTTGCAGAGCGAGAACATGTTATCTTTAAAAACGCACAGCCTGACTGTGTCATATAAGCCTGAAATGAAGCTGATAAGAGTTGATAAGTGAGTAATAAACATAAACAGTGAGGCTTCATGAGAGTCTAATCTAGACGTGCAGGACAGCAGCTGCAGTTAGATCAGATTCTGTATAACAGACGTTCATTCATGTTGCATGTATCAGTCTTCGGTTCATCATCATTTCACAGTGTCATTGCATATTTACAGTAACAGCTTATTAATTATAATGACTGATTATGTGATTAATCTCCCACAGTAAACTGTGGAGACCCGCACTGTTAAATCCGTATATGTGTGTATTTGTTAACCCTCAGTGTTCCGGAGTCATCGCTGTGTCTTTGCTGTATGTTTCTTTACTGTGTGATGGTGTTCGGTGCAGGAGAGCCGTACTCTGAGCACTGGCAGGCGGAGTGGACGTATTTACGCACCGTTGGGAAAGATGTGCTCAATAGCGGAGCCTTCACCTTCCCCCCGAAACCTGCCGAGAGTCCTCTGTCCAACTGGCACATGGGCAGCATGAGGGTCAGTCCCAGCACCAACCCAGATGGAGCACAGTAAGACTGCTTCTCACCCAGTGACAGTTTATAGCTGACGATCAGTTTAGCTCAGGGGTCGGCAGCATGCGGCTCTTTTACTGTCCTGTGGCTCCACAGCTGAATCAGATTAGTAGGTAAAAATAAAATAATCCTCCTTTACAGTAAAATAAAGCTCTGCTGATCGTTCAACACAGTTTAACAGTAAATGGTCTTAAACTCTGGAGTTAATGTAGAACTGCTAATTCACCCTTTAACCCTGATGATCAGCGCAGACTGCTGGTCACCATAGCAACACAGACCACAGTCTCGCCTAGCTAGTAGCTAACGAAACGGCAAAGAGAGAGATTTAAGATGAACATCGATAGTTTGGAGACGAATGGACTTATTTGTGTTTATAATCACTCCAGCTGATTTCCTGATACGTTTAATCTGCAACGAGAAACTGAAACTCTAAAAAGTCACAAGGCTGAAGTCAGTTTCTCATTCGCCAGCTTCTCATTCGAATTCTCCACCTTAAACTGTGCAGCAGTTACATTCTGGCGTCTCAGGCACCATTTAAGGTGGAACGGGAAAATTCATACAAGATGCTGGCGAATGAGAAGCGACTTCAGCCTCGTAAAAAGTCAAACATTGAGAGACATTTTACAAGAAACTGTTCTACTTTTGAGGAAAAGTTTCCTGCTGGAGATGTGAGAAAAGCAGCTGTAGCTGAGCTAAAGATTAGAGCAGAGCAGAGTGAGTCTGAGTTGTAGTTTATATTTTCAGTCTATAGTAGAACATCAGCACAGACTGAGACACATTTACAGCCAAGACGGTAAAATGGACATGAATTGTTGTGGCTCTCAAGCTGGTTTGATTTTTGTTGAAAGAACAAAAACAGTGTTGTGCGTTAATTATAAAACCTTATTCTCTGTTCGTGCTGCTCTTGTGTTATCCTGTTATCCGGTGTGGTCCAGAGGAGGATGGGTTCCCCTTTTGAGTCTTGGTTCCTCTCAAGGTTCCTTCTTCTTGCTCTGAGGGGGGTTTTCTTGCCACTGTTGCCCTGGGTGACGCTCATTTGGGGGCTCAGATGAAACTGCTTTATGAAAAGAGCCGTATAAATAAATCTCGACTTGATCTTCTCTGTTGGTCCGTTCGTTAGTGCAAATAGTAATTGGAGTTTTAAAATTATGCAAAAAAGTAACAACCAAAATGAAGATTTTGCATAACTTTTATTTTTAACAAACCAGAACTGAATTAGAAAATCAACCAGTTCACTCTGAGTAATGATGTTTCTGCTTTTCTGTTCTAATCTCAGCAGAGCGTTCCTAAACCAGTTAGCACAAAATGAAGAGTCAGTTATGTTCCTTTTCCACCGGCTACGTTTAGGAGTGACCTCACAGCACGTTCATCACAACAGAGAAATGCTGATTTCAACCAATCAATCAATCAATTAATCAATCAATCAATCAATCATTATTTGAACACTGCACACTGAGGCCCCTCATTCACAGTGTAGCTGAGCTTGATGACAAAAACAAGACAGTGGAAAAGAACAAATCTAAATCTGAACTGTGATTTGAAGTTTGCCCTCATTCAGGCCGTGATTTCAGTATAAAAGATGAATCGTTCGGCTCTGGTCTTTTGCTGGACGTGTCCAGTATAAACGTCCCGGATGCTGCGCTGTACAGGGGTTTATCGGCGCTGCTCCGGTCGCAGCTGTGAGGCTGAGCGTCTCACACTGTAGCTCAGACCCTGGTGTGTTATTTCAGTGTATTCCTGCCTGTTGTGTGTTGGTTGATTGTGAACCCGTTGCACTCCCTCATATCTGAAGTAGAATCAGAGGATCAGCAGATTCGGAGGATTAAAGTGCAGAAGAGTTCAGCTCTCAGGTTCAGGATTAAAGGAGCAGTAACACGAATCACTCGTTCACACGGGCTCTTCTACACGGCGCTTTGATAGAATTATTCTGATGGATCTGCTGTTAAACGCTGAGCTGTGCTGACGCTGTGCTGAGTCTGCATTCGGACATGAACGACTTGACAAACGTTCAGCCTTTATGCATTATAATGTCATGCTGTGAATTTTCTATGAATTATTTCTCACCCATAGTCCACTGTGTACTATTCAATATCCACTATGCATTATTCAGTATCTACTATAAATTATTCAAAATCTACTATGAATATTTATATGAAGTGTGTAAGCTGTGTGATGGTGTGTTTTCTGGTGTTGGTGCTGGCAGGAATGTGAACGCTCTGTGGAGTGGTGCTCATGCTCTGGCGTATCACCTGGAGGAGGCCTTTAGGAGAGACTCTGCAGGCTGGGCTCTGGAGAAGTGCATTCTGTGGGATGAAGAGGAGAAGAGGATCCCCAACTTCCTCTCGGAAATTATAGACTGCCCCTGCACCCTGGCCCAGGCCCGCGCAGACACCGGCCGCTTCCACGTCAGTCCATCATCATTCTCCAACAAACACCTTCATTCTCCAACAAACACCAACCAAGCATCATCATTCTCCATCCAAACACCAACCAAACACCATCATTCTCTAACCAAACACCATCATTCTCTAACCAAACACCATCATTCCCTAACCAAACACCATCATTCCCTAACCAAACACCATAATTCTCTAACCAAACACCATCATTCCCTACCAAACCCATCATTCCCTACCAAACACATAATCTCTAACCAAACACCATCATTCCCTAACCAAACACCATAATTCTCTAACCAAACACCATCATTCCCTAACCAAACACCATCATTCCCTAACCAAACACCATAATTCTCTAACCAAACACCATCATTCCCTAACCAAACACCATAATTCTCTAACCAAACACCATCATTCCCTAACCAAACACCATAATTCTCTAACCAAACACCATCATTCCCTAACCAAACACCATCATTCCCTAACCAAACACCATAATTCTCTAACCAAACACCATCATTCCCTAACCAAACACCATCATTCTCTAACCAAACACCATCATTCCCTAACCAAACACCATCATTCCCTAACCAAACACCATCATTCCCTAACCAAACACCATCATTCTCTAACCAGACACCATCATTTTCCAACCAAATGCCATCATTTTCCAACTAAACGCCAACCAAACACCATCTTTTGCCAACAAACACCAACCAAACACCATCATTCTCCAATCACACGCCCTTCTCCAACCAAACACCATCACTTTCCAACTAAACACCATCATCAACAACCATGTTTCTCTGCACACCTTCATTTTTTTAAACAGGTGTTGGGGGTGTTCACACTGAGCAGTGTAGTCCACTTGCCTACAAAGCTGTTGCTCTCTGATGTCTGTCTCTGATGCTGTAATTCAAAAATAATTCAGAATGCTTTTGAGTTCAGGCTAACTGACTGTTCTTTAGTCCAAATATTGATTTAATTTAAAATCCAAATGAGTGTAGATCAAAACGACTATAAAAATGTTGAAATATTTTTGGAGCTCACAGTTAGATTGTTGTGCAGTATTGTTGTGCAGTCTTTGCAAACATCCTGTTGTTTTGGGTGTTGATGTTTCAGACTGACTACGGATGCGACATCGAGAAAGGCAGCGTTTGCACTTACCATCCAGGAGCTGTGCACTGTGTACGAGGCATACAGGGCAGGTAACCCACATCTCACTTTACCTTCACTCTCCAACAGAACACAGTCACTCTCCAACAGAACACAGTCACTCTCCAACAGAACACCGTCACTCTCCAACCAAACACCGTCACTCTCCAACCAAACACCGTCACTCTCCAACAGAACACCGTCACTCTCCAACAGAACACAATCACTCTCCAACAGAACACCGTCACTCTCCAACAGAACACCGTCACTCTCCAACAGAACACAGTCACTCTCCAACAGAACACCGTCACTCTCCAACAGAACACAGTCACTCTCCAACAGAACACAGTCACTCTCCAACAGAACACCGTCACTCTCCAACCAAACACCGTCACTCTCCAACCAAACACCGTCACTCTCCAACAGAACACCGTCACTCTCCAACAGAACACAGTCACTCTCCAACAGAACACCTTCACTCTCCAACAGAACACCGTCACTCTCCAACAGAACACCGTCACTCTCCAACAGAACACCTTCACTCTCCAACCAAACACCGTCACTCTCCAACAGAACACAGTCACTCTCCAACAGAACACAGTCACTCTCCAACAGAACACCGTCACTCTCCAACAGAACACCGTCACTCTCCAACAGAACACAGTCACTCTCCAACAGAACACCGTCACTCTCCAACAGAACACCGTCACTCTCCAACAGAACACAGTCACTCTCCAACAGAACACCGTCACTCTCCAACAGAACACCGTCACTCTCCAACAGAACACAGTCACTCTCCAACAGAACACCGTCACTCTCCAACCAAACACCGTCATTCTCCAACAGAACACAGTCACTCTCCAACAGAACACAGTCACTCTCCAACAGAACACCGTCACTCTCCAACAGAACACCGTCACTCTCCAACAGAACACAGTCACTCTCCAACAGAACACAGTCACTCTCCAACAGAACACCGTCACTCTCCAACAGAACACCGTCACTCTCCAACCAAACACCGTCACTCTCCAACAGAACACAGTCACTCTCCAACAGAACACAGTCACTCTCCAACAGAACACCTTCACTCTCCAACAGAACACAGTCACTCTCCAACAGAACACCATCATCATTCTCCAGCAAAAGCCATTGTTTTTAATGCTTTTATTTGTATTCCTCTGTAGTCCTGTGTATGCGGCTGGTCAGCAGTGTTGCTATGACAGCACCGGAGCCCAAGTCCTGACCGGAGACTCTACAGGGGGCAGTACCCCGGACCGGGGGCACGACTGGGGGGCACCGCCATACCAGAAACCCCCCAGAATCCCGGGATTTTCACACTGGAAATATGATGTCATCACCTTCTACTACTGCTGTCTGTGGTCAGATAACTGTGACTATTACCTCGCCCAACGACCGTCCAGCGACTGCAAGACATACCAGCCCCCTAAAGCTGGTGAGAACATGATTATCTACAAAAGAGGACTGTAACTATTGATTATATTAATATTCCTGTGGTTTACTGATTATTCAGATGATTAATTAATCAGTCAGAGGTTTTAAAAAAGGCCAATTAATAAAAATGTGCTTAAATGAAAAATAACTAACCATGCAGAGTCTTTCAAATATTCAATACTAAACAAGAAAACCTTTAAACAAATATATAGAATAAAAGAACAGAGTGTGTTTTGTTGTTGGAAAGACTAATAGGAGACTTTAAAATATGCATAATCATTCTAATTAAATTCTAATTAGTGATTGTGCATTGCAAACCATCGCACCTCGCAACGCCCTAGAAACCACCTGGAATACGTTGTCACGGTGTTGTCAGATAACGTTGTCGGAACTTTCTGAGAAGTTACATTTCAGCGTTGTCACATCGTTGTGGGCACCAAAACAATATGCTGTCACAGTGTACCTCTGTTTGCTGGGTGGCACCCACCTGGAATACCGTAGCAACCAAGCGACCACCTAAGGTACCATAGCAACCACCTGCAACCACCTTAGGTTGCCATAGCAACCACCTAGTAACTGCTTAAGCTGTACAATCACTGCGTTTTGTTCTGGAAATGAACTTTCCTGGTTCTAACTGAAAATGCTAGCGTATCCAGCCCCTCTCGTCACCTCAGACGTGTTCAGTGTCTGAATGCTTCCTTCTTTAGTTTCAGCGCTGGCTAATTTAGCTAACAGGTAATGGACGTTTATACCGATTAGCGTCATGCTAAATCAGTGTGCAGGTGTTTCAGTGTCTCTGATAGTCTTGATTCCGTGGTTTCTGACTCTGTGTGACTCACTGTGATCTATAAACATGGACTGAAGTACTTTAGACACAGATTGAGGTCTGAACTGTCTTTTATTATAAATAAAAGGTACTTTAACTGTTTAAATCTTAAGATTCACCTGAAACAAAATAACTAACAACAAATAGAGGATTAGTTAGCATGATCGCACTAGCGTAACGCTAACTGCTCGTTGTCCTTTAACAGAGAGCCTTTATTGTATATCTAGAACAATTCACCAATAAAATATAACCAAGCGGCAATCAGCATGTGCTTATTAGCACAATAGGCTAAATTAGCAGAATAGGCTAATTAGAAGAATGTCATGTTAAAATATCATCTTAATCTTACTTTTGTTCATTTTCTGCTGAACTGTTTGTTCGAATGTACTGATCTCATTTCGTTTAGACGGAGGATGAAGACAGATGTGCTGGTTTTGCATGTAGAGTTTAAGTTAAATTGTGTTGAATGAAGCCGGTAAATTGATTACTGACCGCTGTGTTTATGTTTATTTGTATTTATTCTGTTGTTATACAGTGTTTTATTAATTAAATCACACTCACTGATCAGATAAACTGAAATTAACGTGTTGTTTGTGCTCCTCCGTCCAGCCTCTGTGCTCGGTGACCCCCATTTCATCACGTTTGATGGAGTGACGTACACCTTTAACGGTAAAGGAGAATACGTCCTGCTCCAGTCCGCAGCCTGGAGTCTCTCAGTGCAGGGCAGGACGGAGCCGATGAAGTCGGAGAACGGTAAACTCATCCGGTTCTTCACACACGGACTCAGATATTCACCATATTTAATGTGTTTATATAGCAGTTTGTGATGCAGGACAGCTCAAATGTGTTTTACTGTAAAATCACTGTGCTCAGATTTATATACTGTAAAGGCAAACTCCGCCTCCATAGATACTAACGGCACATATATTTATTACTATTGGGTATATATATGTATCCTGCCTTCTGCCCAATGACAGCTGGGACAGGCTCCAGAACCCCACCATGACCCAGAAGGATAAGCGGTTTAGATGATGTGATGTGTGTGTGAGTTGTGTTTCATCCAGTTCCTGATTTCTGAGAGGCACAATTCCAAATTGCCAATAGGGAGCATGTAAATAAGGAATACTAAAGGTCCAAGCACAGAACCTTGCGGGACCCCTTGGGTGACAGTGTAAGTGGAGGAATGATGCCCAGAGACAGTAACCAACTGTTTACGATCTGTTAGGTAGGAAGTGAACCAGTCAGGAGCAGAGCCTACAATACCCAGCTCACTCAGTCTAGAGAGGAGGATGGAATGGTTGACTGTGTCGAAGGCAGCGCTTAAATCGAGTAGCACTAGAATGTTAACAGCATCAGCATCAGCTGTCACCAGGAGATCATTAACAACCTTGACCAGAGCTGTTTCAGTGCTATGATGTGGCCGAAAACCAGACTGGACGGGATTAGAAGATCGCGCGAGGACCTTCGATAAGAATGGAAGACTGGAGATGAGACGACAGTTATTAAAGTTAGATTGGTCGAGGCCAGGTTTTTAAGGACTGGAGTGACTGCAGCTGTTTTATACCCCGAGGGAACATGGCCAGAGGATAATGACCGGTTAATGATGGAAGTGAGATGGGGGACCAGAGCAGGCATACAGGCTTTGACTAGTGGTGTGGGGAGGGGGGTCGAGGGCGCAGGTCGCACTTCTAGAATTTGTAATGATTTCACTAATAAGAGACTCTCCTGATGATGCTGCTGCTGCATAAACTAAACCTAATCTAATAACCCGTTGCTCCACCTGTTTTCCCCGTTTTGTACTATAATACTTTATTCTAACGCTGTTTGCTGTCCGGTGTGGTCCAGAGGAGGATGGGTTCCCCTTCTGAGTCTTGGTTCCTCTCAGTGTTTCTTCCTCTTCCTCTTAGGGAGTTTTTCCTCGCCACTGTCTCCATTGGCGACGCTCATGGGGGCTCAGACCTGGATTTTTCTGTGAAGCTGCTTTGTGACACACCTGTTGTAAAAAGCACTACATAAATAAACTTTGCTACTCAGTAACAGGGTTCAAAGCAGGTAGGCAGGGTGAGTCTAGAGGCTGGGTGTTCAAAGGAGAGCCAAAGAAGGTTTTAGGCCATAAAAGAGTTGTTGATTTTAGATATTTTACTTTCAAAGAAATGTGAGAGTGAGGTACAGAGTTCAGAGGAAGGTGCCACAATGCCTACTGGGGGTTTGAAAAGCTTAGAGACGGTTGAAAATAGATGGCGGGAGTTCGAGTTCGGCCTGTTAAAAAGACAGAAAGATAGTTAGATTTAGATAATATGGCACCGTTAAATCTGTTGTATTGAAAAAAAAATATTGAGAATATAATAATAATACTTAATAATACTAATGATGCTCGTTGTCATGGTAACGTCTACACAAAGTGGTTCTCTACACATGCTCGTAATTCTGGATCTGATTGGTTGTAGCTGTGTCTGAAACTCAAAGCATCCACTGTGTCAGCCGTGATGCAAACAAAACTAATTAAGAAACTAATTAACAAAACAAACTAAACAAAAATCTTTAAATTGAGCTTGGTAGATGATGTTCTCTACATGTCACATAAATGCAGTGACATAAATCAGAAATTACATAATTAAAAGAGAAGATCAGATTAATCAGTATAATCAGCCGTTATTGCTCCTCCTTAAAGGGTTAACATGTCCTGATCTGCTGAATCTGCTCTGATGTGAAGTCGGTGCTGTGAGACTCGGAGCTGCAGCTGCTTTAGTGTCTCTCCTGAATATTTACTGTGATGTTCTGCTGTTTTATGTCTGTTGGTATTAAATTCATTACAGTTTTGAAATATGAGGCTCGTTTTCTGCGTCTCTCGATGAAAAAGTTCAAATTTCCATCTAAACCTGTGTCTCTCAGTGTCAGTCTGAGCTTTATGGCTCAGTCTGGACTAAATGTGGTCAGTAAATGAAGCTGCAGGTCAGTCAGAGAAGAAAGGCTCTTAAACTTTAGCTACTTCATTACCGCAGTGCAGCGTTACACTGTAATCTTACAGCACTGCTGCCACCATCAGGTGAGAGGAAGAACTGCAGCGAACTGGCTGGAGGGCCTTTATAGCACACTCTAAAACAGAAGACAGGGGCCGATTAAAATCTGTCCGAAGGGCCACTTTTGGCTCTGGAGCCAGACTTGCCTGTTGTATATAACCTAATACTGACAGGGAAACTGAGTGTAGATCAGATCTCTACTCAGACTCTATTCACTTAAACTTCAGTGATTTATTCACCTTATAAAGTACTGTATTCATATTAACCCTTAAATGTGTGGATGTTTCTGCTGCCGTTTGTATGAACCAGAGAACAAAATAAAAATAAAAATATACAAATTTCACTAAAAGAACTGAATAAGGCTGTGGGAAGAAATTAGATCAGATCAGATGTGCATAAAAAAAAAAGACTAAAACTATTTGCATTAAAAAACAAAACATTACTCTCACTTTCCCTTTAAGGCTCCATCGTCATGGCGACCCGCCTCTGCTCAGTGGCAATGAGGGAGAAGGACTCTGATGTCATCGAGGTGCGGCTCACTGATAGGCTGGATCACCTACAGGTGCTGATGAACCAGCAGGAGCTGAGCTTCTCCGAGCAGAGCTGGATGGACCTGAAGGGTAAGACCTGACGTGACGTGACCTGACCTGACGTTACCTGACCTGAGGTCAGAATTAGACTCAGTCACACTAAGTTCTGTACATTTATGTCTCTGTTTGCAGTGACAGAACATTACAAAGAAGGTTGTTAAAGGGGAACTCCACCGTTTTTTTTAAATTTCTGTGTCGTTTAACTACTGAGATCATTCAGAGTGGTTTGGTGTGAAATGGTTCAGATGTCTTTACAGTGGTGGTGATAGGAACCAGGGGTCGCCATGACTACAACACAGATATAGACATTTTATTTACTATCCAGAACCACGAGTGCATGTATCTCTCCACCATGAATGGAGTTTAAGTTCTCCAAACTATCATAAAACAGGTCTCAGTCATCAGGCAGTGAATTCATAACCATTTCCTGTTGTAACTTTCTGTGAGGGAGCTTTTAGAGGTGGACGTCTGGTTCCTATCAGCACCACTGTGAACAGTTCTGACTCTATTATTTAGAAATTAGAAAAATGGGTGGAATTCTCCTCTAATGCTGTTCTCAGTGTGCTGGTATGGATGTTTTTGTTGCTCTCTTATATCGTCAGTTTTGCGTGTTCAGGTGAGAGGTGTTCTGTGTAATGTTGGGATTTCTAATCTATATGTTTCTCCAGCAAGTCTATATCTTTGCTCCATTTCTCAGGCTGACTAATAACAATCATATGGGGTAAATAATAAAAAATGAACCTTTGTGTACTGTGTGCTGATGATTGGCTGCTAATGATCCACTTACAGAAAACGCAGAAAACCATCTTAGCGTTGCTTCATGTTTTCCAACCAAAAGCCAAAAACATGGCCTAATGTTAGCGGCTCAAAACGAACGACTATCAGTTCTGCTCCAGTAAGACAGGAGAAACAAACAGCCAGTAAGCTGATCCTCTCAGTCTCACATCACAACTGGACAAATACAGTTTATAATCTGCAGCTTTCTTGAAATAAACTGGAGTAAGTAGTAAAATGTCTGTATTTAGTGGAACTTTACTGTTAGCTGTGATTCTGCTCTGCGGCCTGATGATCAGCTGTTTAACCGACTCTGTTCCAGATGCTTATCGTTTAAAAAGAACCCTTGGTTTAGATTGTTACAGTCATTAACTCAGCAGCTCCCAAAACTACCTAAAAACTACCCAGCACTGTGGAAATAACATAACAGAATCAACCCATAGTCTAAGCAGCCCGGCAGCTTTTAGAGGTCAGTCATATTGTGTGGAGTTGAGCTCTGAATTGCTGCTGGATCCTCCACAATTTCTGGCAGTGCAGGACTAATTCTCAGTGTTGTGTGCTGAGTGGGCGGGTGACCAGCCCCCTGCAGGCGGGAGCAGGACTAAGTGCACATGAAGAGAAATCCTGCAAATTAATGAACAGCCTAAATACAGTAGAATGATCACTAAATCATACATAAACAATATAAAATAGTAACAGTGAAACAGTTAAAATGAATGAAGTCAATCTAAAGAGCTGTGAAGCAGCCGATCACGTGAACACGCAGATTCTCGTAGCTCACAGAGACGGAGGAACCTTCAGTCCGACGGCCACAGCTGCCCAGCAAAACGCCCAAAATACCCGCTCTGTGGTTTAACTCCTGCTCTGTGTTTATATGTTGAATAAACAGCGTTTGGTGAAGTCACTCACAGTGAGCCTGATGACCACGACTGACCTGTTATTTCAGCAGAGAATCATGTGTTTGTGAACAGACTGTGTCAGATACTGGACATCAGTTTGCCCTGACGGAACTGCGGGTGGGAGCGGGACTAATGATTCAGATTTTTTGCATTGGTGGGAGTGAAAAACAGTCCTGCTCAGACCTCTAGTGTGGAACACTTTGTTCTAGATCATCTCTAATCTAATGTTATGTGTTCTAGGTGTGTTTGTGTTCTCTGCGGTTCCTCAGAACGTGACTGTGATGTTCCCCTCTGGAGCCGGGGTGGAGGTCAGGGGAAGAGGAGGGGTCATGGCCCTGACTGTCTTACTGCCCACTGAGTTTAAAAGCCACACGCAGGGGCTGCTTGGAAAAATGAATGACAACCCTGAGGATGACTTGACCTCCAGTGATGGAGTGATCACTCCAGCCAACAGCAGCGCTCAGGACATCTTCACTTTCGGGGCCGGATGTGAGTTCTTCAAACTTTTTAGGTTTTTTTGGCATAAACTTTTTTTTCATATATATATATATATATATATATATATATATATATATATATATATATATATATATATAATTAGCTCACCTTATTTCACTGCATTATTTTACACATTTTTTTTAAAATATTATATTACATTTAAAAAAGTCATCCCACAGTTATCTTTTTTATTATTATAATTAACTAGAATAATAATGTACAATGTAATGATAATAATAACAATAATAATAACAATTGTGAGCTTAATATTTAGTTTTTGTAAATATAATATATACATATATTAAATTTGTTATATATATATATATGTGTGTGTGTGTGTGTGTGTGTGTGTGTTAATCAATAAATATCTTGTCTTTGTACTGTTTCCTTTTAAATGCAGTTTTACTTATACACATACACACACACACACACACACACACACATATATATATATATATATATATATATATATATATATATACGTACATGTATATATATATATGCATTTAATAGGAAACAGTACAAAGACCAGATATTTATTGATTAACTTTATCAACTTTGTATATAAAGTTCAATAAACACATTAAACAGGTGCTGCAGTCATGCTCTGGTGTAAAGGAGCGTCCAGGAAAGGTTGAGTCCTCTATGAGTGAGGATGAGTCAAGACCACAAAATCACATCAGCAAAAAATCCAGCAGTTTCGAACTGTTGTTCCTCGGGTGAGCAACTGTGAGGATTTTAGGTATTTTAGCTTCAACAGTGCAGAATATCATCTACAGATTCACACAATCCAGAAAAATCTCTGTTTATAAAGGAAAAGGATGAAAACCACAACTGAATGGCCGTGACCTTCGACCCCTCAGACAGCACTGCATTAAAACCAGTCATCTTTCTGTGATGATATCACCACATGTGCTCAGGAATGCTTTCATCAACAAGCATTATCTGTCACTGCTTCCACAAATGCAGGTTAAGGCTGAACTCTGCACAGTGGAGATCAAATAACAACGTCCAGAAACACCGCCGACTTCTCTGGGCTCGAGCTCCTCTGAAATGGACTGATGATCAGTGGAAATGTGTATCGTGGTCTGACGAGTCCACCTTTCAGATTGTTTATGGAAATAATAGATGTTGTGTTCTCCAGGCCAAAGAAGAAAAGGACGAACCAGATTGTTACCAGTGTTCTAAGTTCTAAAGTTCTAAATCCAGATTCTGTCATGGTGTTGGGGGGTATTAATGGGTAACCTGCACATCTGTGAAAGCACCATTAACACTGAACACGTTTTGGAGCAGCATATGCTGCCTTTTAGACTGTGTTTATTTCAACAGGACATCAAGAAACATTCTGCACGTGTCACAGCAGCACGGCCGAGTAATCAGGGAATGAGGGTGCTGGACGGACTAAAAGCTGTAAAACAGTTTAATCAGATAGCAGATATGATCAGTGTGGATCGCACACCTTCCATGAAGCTGAGTTATGGCCTCTTTATCTCGTATCAGTTCAGTCCAAGGTCCAATCTGTGCACCAAACTCATCTGAACTTCAGAGCTGGTCCTGAAAAACCTGGAGAAATCTGTGAAACTTAAAATCTCAGGCCTGAAACTGATCTTCAGAAATTACAGTGATTTATTAGAAAAGTTTTTATTAGAAAAGTGGTAAAACTTTATGGGAAAAAAATACCAGTAAAAATTGTTTTTTGAAATAAAACCTCAGAGATTTTTATGTAGAACTGTAGTATTTAAGATATGAAAATTTGTGGAGTTTTTAATTCTCGTTGCCAAATTGTTACAACAGCAAATTGTTACTTCACCAAAATCTTATTAGCAAAGTGTATTTTTAGGATATTGTTGTGTTATCAAATTGTTACAAAAGCAAAATTTCAATTTATTTTAGAAAATTGTTACCAAATCTCATATTAGCAAATTGCTGCTTTACTAAAATGTAGCATTAGCAAATTGTAAATTTTGAAAATTTTTTGCTTTACCAAAATGTCGCATTATAAATTTAGGAAATTAATTCTTTACCAAATTGATACAAAAGCACAAGTTGGTTTATGAAATTGATGTTTATTCTTGTTTCATTTTGAAAGTGTTTTAAGTGAGAAATGTTAAACTCTGCTTTTAGTGGTGAAAATGGTCAGATAAGTTTACAAACGAGTCTTTTAGAGCTCATCAAGAAGTTTAATCTGTGAAAATTTTAGTCGAATCGCCATTGTTTATTATCATAAATGCAACAAAACCCTCGCTACTGTTATATAGAATAATAAAATGATATTAAATGTAAATTCTGCCGTTAATTCATTAATATTTGTGTTATTGTTTCAGCAGGATGAGAGTAATAGTACTGATTAAATCCTGTCTGTCTCCACCTGTCGTTCTCTTTCAGGGGCCATTAGTAATGAGTCCTCTCTGTTCACCTACGACTCCGAGCTCCTCCTGAACGAGTACTACTTCAGGCCGAAACACGATCCGTCCTTCATCCCCAGCTTTTCCGTCACTGAAGATCCGTCCGACCCTCTGCTGGAGCCGACTCTGAGGATGTGTTCGGGAGTCGGGGCGCAGTTCTGTAAATACGACGCGCTGATCTCTCGCAGTCTGGAGCTCGGAAACAGCACGCTGCAGACTCAGCGCAGCCACGCAGCAACCATGCAGGACCTGCAGCTCGGTACGAGCCTCGGACACTGAACCACAACAGGGAAATCCGAGTTTCTCACTTCTTTAAATAGGAGTTTGGTGTAGTATGTAAACATCAGGGGTGAAACAAAATACATAATTTCATTTTTTGTGTCGTTACACTCTTAGTAATTGTGTAAAAATGTGCTGTTCACTCTCCAGTACATACAGTCCACATATACGAACAGCCTATTTTGAAGTCGTTGTGATGTCACAGAAACCACCACACCCGTTCAGCCTACAGCAGTTTAGCTCCACCCCTTCTGCTTATAGAGAGTTATAAGGAGTGTTTCAGTCCAAACTGCTTGTTGAATGAGGCGCAGTACAGGACAGCCAATCAAAACACAGCTCATTTATGTACAGTTGTATGCAAAAGTTTGGGAAGCTCTTGTCAAATTACATGTTTTTTTTCTGACTGAAATTTAGTTTACACAACCTCAAATTCAAATTTTAGTACACAATTTCTATTTATTGACTGAGCTAAAAACTGAACAAATGAAACTAAATATAAAATGTGCCATAACTTTTGCACAGGCCACATTTTATGTTTAATTCTCCCCCAGTATATTAAATTTTATAAATAAAAATAAAAAATAAATTGTCGTTTTGCGTTTTTAACTGCAGAAATGTTGAAAAGTTAAACTAGCCCTGCTGATCCTGAAGCTGAGCTGTGGAGTCTCGTCTGCATTTGAGAGTTAATTTATGACTTTTTGTGTGATTATTTCACTGATTATCATCATAAGCCTCAGGATCAGCGTCGTAATCCAGCTGGCGTCTCTTTATCACCTTCAGCAATAAATACAGTACACAGCTTAATACAGCCCGGCGGTGTGACATTTAATAAGTCTTATCATATTTGATGAGCCGATTAGATCTTTCAGTGTTATCTCTGATCAGAGATCATAAAGCTTCAGGAACGATTCTGCTCTTTAACCTTCAGCACTGATTATGTCCTGCAGTGGTGTCATGCGGTTGGCTGCAGCCGCCGAATCACGGCCAGAAGGAAGGAACGCTGTATTTGCAAGGGGCGAAGATCAGCTTCTCCTGTAACCATGGTTACCGTCTCCACGGCTCCCAGGAGCGCATCTGTCAGGACAACGGCCAGTGGTCAGGAAATGAGACGCACTGCGTTTCAGGTAATGGAAAAGTCCATCCTAATCAGATCTTTAAAAAACATACTTCAAATGATTACAGACGAGATTTTAATCCAGTATGAATCTGCAGTGTGTGTAGTTTTACAGTCTGACAGTAATAATTGTGGAGCGATTTTAATCCAGTATGAATCTGCAGTGTGTGTAGTTTTACAGTAATAATTGTGGAGCGATTTTAATCCAGTATGAATCTGCAGTGTGTGTAGTTTTGCAGTCTGACAGTAATAATTGTGGAGCGATTTTAATCCAGTATGAATCTGCAGTGTGTGTAGTTTTGCAGTCTGACAGTAATAATTGTGGAGCGATTTTAATCCAGTATGAATCTGCAGTGTGTAGTTTTACAGTCTGACGGTAATAATTGTGGAGCGATTTTAATCCAGTATGAATCTGCAGTGTGTAGTTTTACAGTAATAATTGTGGAGCAATTTTAATCCAGTATGAATCTGCAGTGTGTAGTTTTTACAGTCTGACAGTAATAATTGTGGAGCGATTTTAATCCAGTATGAATCTGCAGTGTGTAGTTTTACAGTCTGACAGTAATAATTGTGGAGCGATTTTAATCCAGTATGAATCTGCAGTGTGTGTAGTTTTACAGTCTGACAGTAATAATTGTGGAGCGATTTTAATCCAGTATGAATCTGCAGTGTGTGTAGTTTTGCAGTCTGACAGTAATAATTGTGGAGCGATTTTAATCCAGTATGAATCTGCAGTGCGTGTAGTTTTACAGTAATAATTGTGAGTGATTTTAATCCAGTATGAATCTGCAGTGTGTAGTTTTACAGTCTGACAGTAATAATTGTGGTGCGATTTTAATCCAGTATGAATCTGCAGTGTGTAGTTTTACAGTCTGACGGTAATAATTGTGGAGTGATTTTAATCCAGTATGAATCTGCAGTGTGTAGTTTTACAGTCTGACAGTAATAATTGTGGTGCGATTTTAATCCAGTATGAATCTGCAGTGTGTGTAGTTTTACAATAATAATTGTGGAGTGATTTTAATCCAGTATGAATCTGCAGTGTGTAGTTTTACAGTCTGACGGTAATAATTGTGGAGTGATTTTAATCCAGTATGAATCTGCAGTGTGTAGTTTTACAGTCTGACAGTAATAATTGTGGTGCGATTTTAATCCAGTATGAATCTGCAGTGTGTAGTTTTACAGTCTGACGGTAATAATTGTGGTGCGATTTTAATCCAGTATGAATCTGCAGTGTGTAGTTTTACAGTAATAATTGTGGAGCGATTTTAATCCAGTATGAATCTGCAGTGTGTAGTTTTACAGTCTGACGGTAATAATTGTGGTGCGATTTTAATCCAGTATGAATCTGCAGTGTGTGTAGTTTTACAGTAATAATTGTGGAGCGATTTTAATCCAGTATGAATCTGCAGTGTGTGTAGTTTTACAGTAATAATTGTGGAGCGATTTTAATCCAGTATGAATCTGCAGTGTGTAGTTTTACAGTCTGATGGTAATAATTGTGGTGCGATTTTAATCCAGTATGAATCTGCAGTGTGTAGTTTTACAGTAATAATTGTGGAGCGATTTTAATCCAGTATGAATCTGCAGTGTGTAGTTTTACAGTCTGACGGTAATAATTGTGGTGCGATTTTAATCCAGTATGAATCTGCAGTGTGTGTAGTTTTACAGTAATAATTGTGGAGCGATTTTAATCCAGTATGAATCTGCAGTGTGTGTAGTTTTACAGTAATAATTGTGGAGCGATTTTAATCCAGTATGAATCTGCAGTGTGTGTAGTTTTACAGTAATAATTGTGGAGCGATTTTAATCCAGTATGAATCTGCAGTGTGTGTAGTTTTACAGTCTGACAGTAATAATTGTGGTGCGATTTTAATCCAGTATGAATCTGCAGTGCGTGTAGTTTTACAGTAATAATTGTGAGTGATTTTAATCCAGTATGAATCTGCAGTGTGTAGTTTTACAGTCTGACAGTAATAATTGTGGTGCGATTTTAATCCAGTATGAATCTGCAGTGTGTGTAGTTTTACAGTCTGACAGTAATAATTGTGGAGTGATTTTAATCCAGTATGAATCTGCAGTGTGTAGTTTTACAGTCTGACGGTAATAATTGTGGTGCGATTTTAATCCAGTATGAATCTGCAGTGTGTGTAGTTTTACAGTAATAATTGTGGAGTGATTTTAATCCAGTATGAATCTGCAGTGTGTAGTTTTACAGTCTGACGGTAATAATTGTGGAGTGATTTTAATCCAGTATGAATCTGCAGTGTGTAGTTTTACAGTCTGACAGTAATAATTGTGGTGCGATTTTAATCCAGTATGAATCTGCAGTGTGTAGTTTTACAGTCTGACGGTAATAATTGTGGTGCGATTTTAATCCAGTATGAATCTGCAGTGTGTAGTTTTACAGTAATAATTGTGGAGCGATTTTAATCCAGTATGAATCTGCAGTGTGTAGTTTTACAGTCTGACGGTAATAATTGTGGTGCGATTTTAATCCAGTATGAATCTGCAGTGTGTGTAGTTTTACAGTAATAATTGTGGAGCGATTTTAATCCAGTATGAATCTGCAGTGTGTGTAGTTTTACAGTAATAATTGTGGAGCGATTTTAATCCAGTATGAATCTGCAGTGTGTAGTTTTACAGTCTGATGGTAATAATTGTGGTGCGATTTTAATCCAGTATGAATCTGCAGTGTGTAGTTTTACAGTAATAATTGTGGAGCGATTTTAATCCAGTATGAATCTGCAGTGTGTGTAGTTTTACAGTAATAATTGTGGAGCGATTTTAATCCAGTATGAATCTGCAGTGTGTGTAGTTTTACAGTCTGACAGTAATAATTGTGGAGCGATTTTAATCCAGTATGAATTGGCCAAACAGTTTTCCTCAATGCTGTTATTCAGCTCCCTCTTTAATGGACTTTGTCGACCTGTTTGTGACTTTATTTGCAGAGCGCTGACGGATTGAGACCTTTAAGGATTTTAAAACTATTTAACACACAAAACATACTTAACTGAAATATTACAGTGATAATATTGATTTGGCTTTTTAAATCAGACTTTCATGCTTGTTATTATTCTGTCAGACAGCGTAAGAGTAGTGTTCTATGTTTGTATCCATTTGTTTGACAGTTATATGAGGAAAAATCACAGCTTTCATAAACACCTTTGCTGCTTGTGTTTTCAAAATATCTGTAATAAAATGATTCCAATCAAATTTGACAATATTTCCAACTTTCTTTGCATATTTTTTAAAGACAGCTGTGAATCCAACAGCACTTGGATATGTAAACTCATTCATGACCTCAAGCTTCTTTGATTGTACAAATTTATTAGAATCAACTCATTTTGGTAAAAATCATAAAGATGATTTTTCTCAGCGTTAATGCTTCATTGCTTCTGAAAGCCTCTGAGTGACCTGCTGTTTGGCATTTGCATACATGTAAATAACCATCTCAGCTGTGTACGTTTGATAAGTAACTCCAGGAGGACAAACGTTAGGATCATATACACTAAATAAGAGTGGCCCTAAAGGTGACCCTTGTGGAACTCCAGTCTCCTAATCGAGTAATGAGTTATTAATGTTTTAAGTTATTTATCTAGAAGGTTAAAGAAGGTTCTTAACGGGCTTTTTAGTAAAGAAAACTGTTCTATATAGAACCAGGAACACTCAATGACCACTTTGCATGGTTCTCTGCATGGTGAAATGTTTCTTTAGGTTGATTGAGAAGGTGTTGGTTCTATTTAGCACCAAAAAGGGTTCTTTTGTTATATACAAGCTTGATATTATAACAATCAGAACCCTTTTGGTGCTATATAGAACAACACATTCTCCATCAGTCTAAAGAACCATTTCACCATGCAGGGGACCATTTAAGCATGTGTTCATAGTTCTATATAGAACCACTGTCATTACTAAAGAACCCTTGAAGAACCATCTTTCTTACGAGTGCAGGTTGGTGTGAAAGTCACTTCAGCTGTGTTTAAAATGTCTTTTATCTTTACTTTGTAAATGTAGCATCACTGGAGTCTCTCTGACTGTGGAATCACTCTGATTTGTCCACTCAGGTCAGTGCAGTGAGTGTAGTTCACAGTATCATACACCAGGTGGCAGTGTTACACAGCGGCAGACCATTCAAGGCTGTAGAGTGACTTTATTATTGCCATCGTTCTGGAGATCATCTGCACAATACACAATTCAAAAAGACAGTTCTTCAGGGGTTCTTTAGTAAAGAAAATGGTTCTATATAGAACCTTAAAGAGTTCTTTGCATCATGAAAAGGTTCTTCAGATCGATGGAGAACGTGCTGTAGATCTTATTTTTTTATTGTACTTTCTTTGTTTAAATAGTTTTTTTTTCCCTCCCTAATTTATACGTATCCAGTTCCACCCACCAGTTAGGACTAGACAGTTCTATATAAACGGTTTTGAAAAGGGTTCTTCATAGCACCAAAAAGGGTTCTTCTATTGTATAAAAGCTTGACATCGTAACAATAGAAGAACTCTTTTTGGTGCTGTATAGAACACATTCTGCATCACTCTGGAGAACCATTTCATCATTCAGAGAACCATTTAATCAAGCAGAGGGTTCTTTGAGTGTTCATGGTGCTGTATAGAACCATTTTCTTTATTAAAGAACCCTTAAAGAACCATCTGTTTAAGTGTGTACAGTTATTGATGAGCTGATGAGATGAATGATGTGTTTTAGGTGTTCAGGGCTCGATTTAAAGGGAGCGCCAGTCAAAAATCATTCCCTTTATGTTAAAGATGCCCATAAAATATAAAACATATTTTTATATATTTGAAATACATTCAAAACACAAACACACACACACACACGCACGCACGCGCGCGCACACACACACACACACACACACACACATACACACACACAAACACACACACACACACACACACACACACTCACACACAAACACACACGCACACACACACACACACACACGCACACACAAACACACGCACACACAAACACACACACACACAAACACAC